CCCAGCCGTCCCGACAGGCCCTTACGTCCTGTACCGTCAGTGTTACGTCGAATGTGAACTAGGCTTTAGACCAGTCAGATGTCTACAGGTGTCGACACAGGTGCCTGAAATGTTTACAGAATACCAAACACTGAGCGGTAGCCTGGGTATATTTAGAGTGTTTGACTGGTGGCCACAGCTAATGTAGCAAAGGCATCATGGAATTTCTTCATAGTCTTGTGTTCGAGGTGCACGACTACAGCCGGAAAGAATCTATAATTATGAACCAACAATTATAATTGATCTCAATGTCTCAGTACTCATACTCCTTGTCAGTTTTGTGCTAGATTGTGCACGTCTGACTATTCGAAATCTGGTTTAGTTGGTGGACTCGATTGCATAACTTGTGCCCACATTTTTCTATGTTACAATGATATTCATCGCTAAAGAGATTGGTTGATCGCTTGGAGTTATTGAATGATCGTTTCAGCCCTAATTTATTTTCACCCTGGCCACAGCACTAGGCGAAATTCTCTGACACGGCCTTTACCTGCATCCACTGCTCTTTCGCATCACGACGAAGGACATGCAGGGGTTCTCTCTGAGCAGAGGAAAGTAGCCATCGCCACCACCACCATCACCATTCACCGACAATACTAGAGAGACTATTTTCCCCGTCATGGGTACTTCCAATAAAGTAATTCCACTTACATAGGCAGGCGCGTGCTCGGCGATGGGCACGGGGGGCACGTGCACCCCCCAAAAATTTTCAATCTGGGTAATTGCAATTGTAGTGATGCAAATATGCTCTAAAATTCAAGAGAGGTTGCAAACATATTGCAGAAAATTGCCGGGGGGGGCTCCCGTGCACCCCCCTAGTTGGGGGGCCGAGCACGCCCCTGCATAGGTACCGTCAGCGGCGCCACCATGTTCCCAACAGTGAATTCCTATCGTGGGTACTTCCACGGGCAATAAATTCGGCTCGTGCTGTCACTCGCAAGCCATCAAATTCCTATACCTCCCTTGCGCGAATTGCCTCTGCAAACAAAATTATTTCAATGATTGGATTAATTCAGTTCTTTTCGCTCGTGCACGTCACGCCGGGTGCACTGCGCACGGCTGTCACGATGGTCATGTACTCGGCCAAAAAATATGGCGTCCAAAAATTTGAAAATTTGAAAATCTCATCATCGATCTGTCATTGATTTGCTTGAAAATACTCTTTTTCTCTTGAGGAAACCTCCACTTTCCCCTTCCCATCGACCGGGTTTCATAGTACAAACACGCTTCATGACTTCCTCTCGCGATCCTCTTTCATCTGATACCCGTCTTGGCCGTCTTCTTCCAGGAACGATTCCTTCGGAGGTGCGTTTCCTTTGCCTTGACGACTTGCCCTTCGTCACTTCTATCAGCCCTTTTCACAGCTACCTTCTTCTCTTGTAAAAGTTTTCTCGTCTTCTTTGGCAGTTTTCCTGGTGCCTGGGTGACTTCATTTACCGATTTTTTGAATTTGTTTGTCTTTCCGTGCTACTAGATCGATTTCCGTGGCCATCGATTCTACCGTATCGCGTGCTAGTAGTAGTGTGTAAAATGGATGAACACAGTGCATTGCTGTCTACCTGCTGCAGTATTGGTGGCAAAAAGTTTGCCAACATGGCTGTGTCCACGAAATACAACGTGAAGGACTATGCCAGATCATTCAAGATGTGTACGAGGTCGACATTTCTCAGGATGACCCTGCGATCCACCCTATACACATTTGTCATGTATGCAAACGTGTGCTGGATCGTTGTCTGAGAGAAGGTTGCCTTGACTCATTTGTAGGGGATGGATGTGGAGCGATCAAAGTGTGAACGCCACATCACCGCACATACTGCGACATATGCCACACTGCACCAAACAAGGGTGGACGTCCACCAAAAAAGCAGAAGCAACTTGCTTCAAAGCTTTCTGCTGTACAAAAAAAAGAAAAGAAATGGATCACACAACAGTCCCACAACATTCATCCACAACAGCAATACCCCTATCACACTCTCCTGGACCCCAGACTGCACACAGTACTAGTGAAATGGATGTAGATGAAGCAAATGTTTTCACGCACGCAACACCGACATACAGCGCACAGAAGAAACTGGACAAGACTAGGTTCGTTCATTGCGCAGCAGGTTCCACAATACACAGCAAGGGAAGTGCCAATGAATAAGAAAGACGGCAGCATAGTGATGGCATGCATGGCGTACATGCCAAATCTCATTGACATCGTGATGATCTGATGATCTGGACTTGTACGACACATATGGGTGGCTGACCTGGCACGGAAATGTCATTCCGGAGTCCGAGATTCGGCTAAAACTTGGCGGTGACCGCCTCTGGAGCAAATCTTTCGCAAGCCAAGCACCATAACAATGCCATCCGCCCAGTTATCTTGCCAGTTCCCGTCAGCAACGTTGTTATTCCGTCTTTTCATCTGGATCTCGGCATTTTCGCATGGCTGTATGACATCTACCTAGCTGAAGTCAAACAACTGGATGTGAAACTGGCAGCAGCAACTCTCTAGCCGTGTGCAGATGATCAGCTCCAGTTTCAAGAGCTAACAGTTCTCAGCGACAAAGTTCGGTCCGCCAGGCAAGCTATGGAAGATGCCCAGGCGAAGAGCGATGAACTACAGCAGCAGCTCCAATATGCAGTGCTCTTGCAGCAACACGCACCGACCAGCTTTCCCAACGTCAACATGGACACTGTAGCTGCAGCAATACAGCAACTGTGGAAAGACGCCAGCGACGCCTTCACTGCTGCAAGTGCTGAGCACAGCAAACTCGTACAAGACTTAGACGAGATGAGAAAGAACAAGAAAGTCACAGGACCATGCGCGTCAAGTCTCGAGTCTGTGCTCCAAACACACAATGTTGATCGGCAAGCCTTCCATGGCGGTGCCTCCGTGGGCAACCATGTACATCGCACACTGCAGCCTGCCGTACTAAGAGCACTGATGTCTGCTCCAGTTGAGATGGTTTCCACTCGTTGCCAGCAGCTCGTTGCTGATGCAGAAATCTTGCAGCAGCGGTACCATGGATTGTTTTCGGGATATGCCGACTGCAGCCACCGTTTCAGCCATTGCAACAGCATGTCAGAGGCCGACATCTCAAAGCTGGCTGACTGCATCCAGCTGTTTCTTCAGAAATGCAGAGAATCCATTATCACCCGGCAGCTCGGCAACATAACTCCGAAACTACATCTCTTGGAGGAGCGCACAGTCCCGTTCACCAGGAAATTTGGAGTCGGTCAGGGTCGACTCGCCGAGCAGGGCAGCGAGTCAATTCATGCCAGATTCAACAGGCTGAGCTTCGATTATAACGCTATTCCTGGGACTCTGCAGCGCCTCACAGCAATGTGCCAGCAACATCTCGTCGGGACATTGCCACAACATGACGCTGTTCGTCCCGCCACGGCATCAAGAAAACCCAAGGCGTCCGAGCTCGAGCAGTGATCCTCAGGCCCTGGACGCAGCAGCTTGGCCATTTCAGCCCTGATCCAGGTAAGAAAAATAACAACGGTACTGCTGACTCCTAGTTGAGCTCTGTAGTGACAACAGGAAGAGACGTCGTCCAGCAAAAAACTGCTGTCTACCTTCTCCTTCCTTTTCTTTCCTTGTTTGTTGTTGTCGAAGCTGAACAATTTTTGTTGTGCGACTTCGAAAGTTTGAATCCTTGTCCCGATCGCGGTGTTTGTTACCTTGACAAAGCACAGTTTTCGCGTGAATCCCACAGGATCTTGAAATCTTTTTCAGTTTTCAGAATATTTTTGAATTTCACCGTAAACCTGGGCGAAGGCCGCCATATTGTTAAGTGGTGGCCGCGAAACAGCCGTGTGCGCGCGGCCCATCTCCGCCCGTACATTGTTTCATCTTGTTTCATCTTGTTTCATTCGCGGCCCATCTACGCCCGTACTTCGAGTTTCATTTGGTTTCATCTTGTTTCATCTTGTTTCATCTTGTTTCATCTTGTTTCATCTTGTTTCATTTCGTTTCATCTCGGCCCCATCTGCGCCCGTACATTGGCGTTTCATCTTGTTTCATCTCGTTTCATCTCGTTTCATCTTGTTTCATCTGTTTCATCTGGGGGGAAGACGGGCCCGTCAACCTGATGCAGAGTCAATCGAACTGAGCCACTCCTTTGTGTTGACCCATTGCCTCCAAGTTGTCCAATTTTTCGCTTCAAAAAAGTTCAAATCAGAGGTGGCTCCAAACCGGACACGTTTTAGAGTGCCCGTCAAATTCAATCTGAGTCTGAAATTAGGTAATTGCTATCGCTCCACGACGGCCAGTACAGAGTAACAATAAGCCTTGTGTGTGCTTCCATTAGTTTTGATTGGTATGCGGTGCTTTATTGGCGAGAGGCGAGCCGCTGTTTACCTGCGACAAGAAGTTGATTTTTCGAAAGTCGTAAAACTCAAGTCGCAGTGCGAAGCAACACGTCAAAAACTCACCTGCTTGATATGGCGCTTCTGGTCATCGCAGAGCCATGAAATTTTGGCTCGGAGTATAATACATCGTAGTCTCACTGTGACATATGTTTTCTAATCAAAATACATGTACCAAGAGAGAAAGTGAATATTGAGTCCGTTCCGGTTTGCAACCGGTGTCCTATTTGAAACCGTCCCCTCTACATACCGTATTTCCACAAATAGTAGGCCGGTCTACTAGTAGTAATACTATTTTTTCAACCTCGTCCTAACCCGGCCTTATAATCGAGGACGGTCTTTTATTTTCAACCCAGTTTGACCCCGGTCTTCTATTTCTCGCCACACAGTTTTACCCCCGTTCTTCTTTTCTTCTACACAGTTTGAGCACGCGTGCACGGTCTTCATGGTCATCATGCCTTCATGGTCGCAAGAGTACATAACCCCCCCCCCCCCGGGGTTACCGTATTTCCGCAAATAAAAGGCCGTCCTCGTGTGACTGATCTAGCTGAGAGCAGAAAGGAGGATGCTGCAGCGCTGTCGAGTAAAAAGGACATTCTAATAAGTAATATTATTATTATCATAGGCTGGTGAGAGTCATTCTAACTACAAAATTTTAATACTTGAGCATTGCGGTATTGACGGCACTGTGTCAGAATTGCAGAAGGAGGTAGTGTACTAGTGAGTAGTGAGCAGCACGGCAGTAGATCTACCCGCTAGCCGCTGTTCAATGAATGAGTCGCTAGCTAAGCGATCAGTGAGCGCAGGCCAGGAGGGATGATGGTCAGTGATCGCCTTGCAACCTAACCAAGGTTTCATCCAGTGAACGGTGAGTACAAACTACAAACTCTGACTCTGGCAAGAGAAATCTATAGTGCAGTCAATAGCAGCAAGCACTGTCACAGAAATTACAGTGCTGGCTACAGTGGTTTGGTCCAGTTGTTCATGGCAATCATGGCTGTGCAAGTAAGTACTTGAACTGAGTATTAGTAGTGGTGTTGCAGGACTGCTGTGTTGAGGGTGCACATGCTTGCGGCTGTACTTGGCTAACTTGGTTTTAACTGGACCGGTCAACTTTGAAATTGCCTTTGTTGTTGACAAATGTATTAAACATAGTGGAGATTGCTGGCGTGAGATCTGTCTCTACCGCTTTCATGCCCTAACGAACTTAGGGCTACGGGATGATGACCAACGGAATGCACCCGGGCACTATGCGCCTGGGTACTATGCGCTTGGGCACTATGCACCCAGGCACTATGCGCCTGGGCACTATGCACCCGGGCACTATGCGCCTGGGCACTATGCGCTTGGGCACTATGCACCCAGGCACTATGCACCCGGGCACTATGCGCTTGGGCACTATGCACCCACACACACACACACACACACACACATGGTCGTTAGCAGATATACGCAACTGATGACAACGCATACTCATGGCTTTGCAAGTAAAGTTTCACGAGCGTACAAAAGCGTGGTCCAAGGACATAGCGGCTATTGTATGTATTCCTGAAATCTTGATGTATGGTATTCTACTCAATCTCTAGACAGCTAGCGTATCCTGTCTCATCAACGGGGCTCAGAGTGACTGGCCAAACCAATTGCAGTAAGTCTAGCGAACAACAATGCAATGCAGCGATCTACATTTCTGTACTCTATGCTGGTAAGTATATTCTTCCTGAGACATAACACTCCCTTGCCTTGTCTTGGTTGAGGACTATGTTCTGGTTTATAGCATCAGAGTTTAAAGTCAACTGCCTTCCTGCACCGTTCACTGTATTTGTCACAGTTCAAGCACTCTGCGGTCTTTGATACTTTGAGTTAATTAATGCTTTGTTGTTCACTTGGCCTCATAGCGATCACTTTGGCCAGTCAATCGGTGAGACCTACTGATGTTACCTAACAAGGTCAAGACAGCTAGCCGTTCGGAGACTGAGTATTCCTCATATTAAAGATGTGTATCAACTCCTGTCAATGCTGATGCCTCACATGCAACACACATACTTCCCTGCCTAAACATACCCGTTTAGACAATAAAATGTGGAAATCAGATGCAGCGCCACAACTTTTCATACAGCTATGGGGCACATAGGTGCCCACATAATACTATGCACGTTTGAGGCCAGAAAAAGAAATCCCCATCCCCACTGATGCTGCACTAGGGCCTGGATGTAGCATGGTTTCAAAGAGTCCTCTGAAGGGCATCGGGTTTCTATGGCCCTGGTCACAGTGTATTTGCCAATGCCAGTGCAGTATATACAATGTACATGTAATACAGTAAAACTTGTGACTAGCGACCACTGTGACTAGCGACCAGCCTGGTATTACAGACTACTTCGTCAGGCACATCAAGTTACCACAGCAAGCCAAAGAGAGTTCTCCATCACCTCTTCTGGCCACAGCACGTAAGTAAGAGTAGGAGAAAAGTTAGCCGGATTCACGGCAAAATGTTAGCCGGATTCACGGCTGCATCACCTGACGTGTTGAGGAACACATCAAGCAAAGACATTTGCATCGGCGGGCCACTACTTCACCCATATATCCCTGTGGCGAATGCAGACCTCACTAGTGCCACTGCTATGGCAGGCCGCCACTGCACTACTATCAGACTGCCTAGGTCACAGTTAGTAACACCACTGCACTGCTATCAGACTGCCTAGGTCACAGTTAGTAACGCCACTGCACTGCTATCAGACTGCCTAGGTCACAGTTAGTAACACCACTGCACTGCTATCAGACTGCCTAGGTCACAGTTAGTAACACCACTGCACTGCTATCAGACTGCCTAGGTCACAGTTAGTAACACCACTGCACTGCTATCAGACTGCCTAGGTCACAGTTAGTAACACCACTGCACTGCTATCAGACTGCCTAGGTCACAGTTAGTAACACCACTGCACTGCTATCAGACTGCCTAGGTCACAGTTAGTAACACCACTGCACTGCTATCAGACTGCCTAGGTCACAGTTAGTAACACCACTGCACTGCTATCAGACTGCCTAGGTCACAGTTAGTAACACCACTGCACTGCTATCAGACTGCCTAGGTCACAGTTAGTAACACCACTGCACTGCTATCAGACTGCCTAGGTCACAGTTAGTAACACCACTGCACTGCTATCAGACTGCCTAGGTCACAGTTAGTAAATACCGGTAAGACTAGTTGGTAAAAACATGTTGCGGCATTTTAAAGCCCATGAACAATTTACTATGTGTTGCTATGCCTTGCCGGTGCATGTGTGTAGATTCGAATGGTTCGGTGGCCATCTGGGACACTCGCGACAACATTGTCCTGGCACGGTATCAGGACGCGGCAAAGGCTGTCTTTAGCCTGGCCTTTTCCCAGCAATGCCGCAAAATGGCCACGGCATCACAGGACTGTCAAGTTCGTATCTATGACATGGAGTCAGGTTCTCGCAAATGTTCCGTCCTGGGTGACGTTTTTGACGAGTAAGTTATATGGCCAGCATTAGGTTGATAGTTGATACTTGATAGTTGATAGTTGAAGTACAATCTATAGTGGTGGCAACTAATGGGCAACCCCTGGATTTTCTCTGCGTTTCATACATCTGTACAACATGCATACAGAGTATTGTGCAGATCCCACTATGCCTGCCTGATCAATGGAAATGAGCAGGCTATATGTATGAACTCCATTGTTTCACTTCAAGTAGCCATGGATACTACAGTGTATTAGTATGCTGAATGCTAGTCTACTGTCCTTGCTACCACTGCTGGTGGAAACTATGGCAGTGGCTTACAGACCAGGTTTTGTATGATTATCTGTGCCCTGCTACTGCAGAGACCCAGGCGTTGTAGATCCAAGAACTGATGTATGCATGTATGGCAGCCACTCAAGCCATGTGTACGCGGTGAAGTTTAACCCCATTGACGACAATCTCTTGATCAGTGGTGGCTGGGACAGAGGTGTACGGGTGAGTCAATTGGCTCAGGCCCAAGTCACATGACTTGCACAAAGAACCCAATTTCCTATGGTCAAACCCAGTGTTCTTGATATTAATAAAGGCCGCTACGTCATGATCTCAACGACCAGTTTCAGGCACATGTATATCAGAAGTCTGTTCGGAACTCTTGTGTCGGCTCACATTGCATGCCATGCTTTTGTAATGCACTAAAAATGTGTTAGTCGGCAACAATACGTGCACTGCTGGCTTTACAGAGTATCCACACCTCACCTACGGTGCTCCTGCGATCCATGGGATCAATAGTGTTACCTGGTTTCAACAAAGGACATTGTTGGAGAACATGCACTCCACGCCGGCTTACGGCCAGTTCACTCACAACACCACAGAGCTTCCAAGGAAATTAGTTATTCTTCTAGATGGAAAATGAGAAACGTCTGTTATCACCACAAGTTGGAACTAACTCCACGCCAAGATCAAACGGAAGCTAAGCCAGAAAAAGAACCATGGCCAGCTTGCCAAAAGTAACGCGTAGCAAGCGTGCACGCAAGCACACTCCATACATAAGTCAGGATGCACACAAAAGCTACAAACTCGGAATAAGGGCAGCGCAGACCACGCCGAAACCGCAACTAGAAGATTGACCGCTGACAGGTCAATCAGTGAATGGAAAAGCATGCACCACCGCACGGACGCGCACTCACTAACCTACAATCAATACACGGAAAATGGCATCACGCAGAAGGTATACCAAGCAGAGCATGCACAAGTAACAATACAGTTCCAGCCAGTGGCTGCCACGTTACCATAAACTACAACATCTCCCTCCCTGGTAACATCACCTTAAAAAGACAATAATAGGCAAGCACATCGAAAGAAGCAAAGAGAAACGAAAGGACATGAAAGTTCTGCGAACCATCACCAGCTACTAGTTCTCAGTCGTATCTCACTGGAGCCCTGATACCAGCTCTGTTCCGGAGCACATATCTTGGCTCTTCAGCTCTAGGCACACCTGCGACTAGCTCACCGGGCTCTAGCCGCATCGGGTAACCACCGTCATCCTCGCTCGCATCATCTGGCTGAGGCGGCTCAGGCAGGTCTACAGTAGGATTGGCTGCGGCACGCTTCAGCAGCTCTACGTTGACGATCTTCTCCACCCTGGGGTCTTCCACTTTCTGAACGACTACAGTCGACTCCGACAACACCTTCTTGACTCTCCAGCCAAGCTGAAACTTCGGGAGGCGTTTCTGCGCGCGGCTGGTCATCTTCATCATCACCACGTCACCAGGCCCGTAACAGCAACTTGCTTTGTCGGCGTCTTCTTGGGAATCAGCTGACGCCATTTCTTCATCGATCAAATCACGAATGGCAGCTGCTTGACGCTGCAGCTCAGCCGTCCATGCTGGCAAGGTGTACAGGGGCTGTTGGGCCTCTACAACAAGACCACGGGGCTGCCAACCAGTCATCGCTAGCTGAGGCGAAACTCCCGTTGCTCCATGCGGTCGGACGCGATAGAAGTACAGCAGCATTGACAGGTCGGTCTTCCAGTCGTTGGACTGCGAGTGTACTTTGCGAATCAGAGTCAACAGGGTCCGGTTGAATCTCTCCACGCTTCCTTGTGACTGAGGGTGTCGCACTGCACCGTGCTTGACTTCCACTCCAAACGCCAAGTACAAGGCGTCCATGACAGCATTGACGAACTCTGTTCCGTTGTCTGATCTGACCACCTCCGGCGGACCCCATCGGCAGCACACAGACGCAAACGCCTCGGCAACTGACTTAGCGTCATGGTGCTTCAAAGGTATCACCTCCACATAGCGCGTGAACATATCCGTACACACCAAGACGCAATGGAACCCAGCTCGGCTCGGTCCTAGCTCCAAGGTATCAATCGCCACAACTTGCCATGGGCGCGCCGGCACTTCGGGACGTGTCGGCGAAGCATGACCACCAGCAGCAGGGTTTGCAGCGGCACAACTGTCGCAAAGACCGACGAACTCCTGGCACTTCCTTGCCATCCCAGGAAGGTAGCACTGCTGACGCATCATCTCATGGACTACCTCCCATGATCCGTGGCCAGTGTTCTCATGGGCGATTCGGAGGGCATCTTGCTCTAGCAAGCTCGGAATCACGGGCACCTCGCATGCTTCATTGGCAGGCGGCAACTTGATTGACCGATACAGCACGCCATCCCGCACTCTCAGCTGTGGTGCCACCTTCTGAAACTGCTTCGCCCTAACTGTCTGCATACCGTTGACATCCTCCACCGTCTGCTGGATGGCAGTATCTGCTCCCTGCTGGTCCCGGATGATGTCGAAGGCAAGTGGGGCAGAACTGTGGACACCTGCACACGCACTGCTCTGGGTCGCCGCCGCAACCACCGGTGACTCGGGCATCTTGAGCCAGGATGCCGGCACACGGGTCAGACGGTCAGCCAGGTTTTTCTGTGAAGGCACCCACTCGACAGATATCTTCAACTTGTAAACCTCGACCAAGTCGTCAATCAGCTGCAATCTACGCTCTACAAGAGCTCTGTAGAGGCCATTCACCTTCACTCGCTGGATGTTGCCCAAGAGAGACTTTAGCCATCCATGCACCGTCTTCGAATCGGTCATGACTCGAACGTTGGCCACTCTGTGATCCACGACAGCAGACAAGCCACGAAGGACGGCGTCTAACTCGGCAACGTTGATGTGCCGCTTGTCTGACTTAGGCCTGAGCCAACAGTGATCCTCAATCACGGAGCCATCTTCGCTGATGACAACACCTAGCGCCAGGTTGGATGCATCGCACCATAGGGACACGCCACCAGTCGACTTGACTGTCCACTTGCCGTTGACGGGATCCTCTCGTGAAACTTGATCCTCCACCGCACGACACAACTTCTCGAGCGCAGCTGAGACAGGCTTATCCCAAACCGCAGCATCTTCACAGCTCACTCGCTTGATGTAGCTACAGCACGGTCGCAGCCACGATGCAACAGGGTAATGACTCGTCAATCGACCGCACCAGGAGAACACTTCTCGCTTCGTCGGCTGCTCTGGCAACGTCAGATCCATGCCATCACGGCGACGCCACATCACGTCTTCACTCGACGTAGCAACCGATAGTTGCATGCCAAGCACCCTTGCGCCGGCAAGTACCTCTGGTGGCTTCGTCGGTAATCCGTACCGACTCAGCGCCGCAGTCACCTCCGGAAGTTGTTCGGACGGAGCAACGACATCGTCGACATAGTTGTCTGCATCAGGAAAGTCGCACAGCGCAAACTTCACGATGGCGTCCATGACTTTCGGAGCTATGCTGAGACCAAATGCCATTCGTTCCATGACATACGTGACTCCATTGAATACCACGGTCTGATACCGAACGAGGCTGGGGTCGACGTGAACTTGTAAAAACGCCTTCTTGATATCGACGACTACCTGGTCACCGCCACGGCGTCTCCACTCCCTGATCTTCTGGTCGCATGCAGGCGCGTCGCCTCCAGGATGGGAAAGAATCGCCTCATTCAAACGACGGTAGTCTAAGCAGGGACGTACAGGCGTAGACGCCTTGTGTCCTTGACACACAGCCATTAGAGGGAGGATCGCACCTGACTTGCCGTGTCGATCTGGATCATGGGGCACCATCCAACCATGGTCGATCCACGACTGCACCTCCTTCTGGTACTGTTGCTCCTGCTCTGCAGAGAGCTTCTTCCGTGAGTACTGTGTCACTCCGGAGCCAATGCTATCAGTCGGCTCTACACCACCTCCCCAGACCCAGGCGACGGTCCACGACTTTGCACTATTGTCCCAGCGCACCTTGAAATCGGCTGAACTGAGGGTGACACCATCCGAATCTCGCTCAACAGAGATGTGCCTCGAGAGCTTCTGCTTCGGCGCTCGTTCAGCATGGCCAGCTGCGGCAGCCGCTACATCGGGCCCTTTTCCGAACCGAATAGCACTCGCCGAGCCATTCTGGTAGCGTATCTCAAGACCACCAGCCGCGCTGGCAACGTCATTGCCAAGAATCAGGTCAGCATCCACTCCCTCATGCTTTGAAACTACCAGGAAGTCCACGCACAGTTCCGGAAGCTGAACTATATCATCATGTTGCTGGACAGTCGCAGCAACAGATCCAACTGACTCCAGGGACGTGCCGTCGATGCCGACCACCCAGTCAGTTGTCGATTCCACCTGATCAGCCAGGCCCACGGCAGTTACTACACTCTCTTTCATCAGAGATCGCGTGCATCCAGTATCCACAACCGCTGCGACTGATATCCAAGAGTCATCATGGCCCTTAACACACACATCAACTTTCAGCAGCTTAGAGCTCTGCCCACCAGTTGATATTGGGATTCCGTCAGCATCAGTAGACACTCCAGCCTGACAATGCCCAGCACTCACAGCCACTGAAGCAGACTCAGTCTTGGCCTTTGGACAATTTCGCCTGATGTGGCCATACTCTTTGCAAGAGTAACACTGTGGCCCTCGTGACTTGCCAGTGGTGTGGCTGTTGCCCTTGGCCTTAGGGCAATTCCTTCTTACATGACCAGGCTCCTTACATGAATAGCACTTGACAGCTGCAGCCACGGACTTCCCTCCACTGACACTTATAGTATCATCGACGGACATAGCCCTGACACGTTTGATCATATCGGTAAGAGTCATGCTACCGCTAGAGCACTGGATTCTCACCTCTCTGGCGAAGTCTCTGGGCAAGCCCCCAACAAACTGTTCTAACAGCATCGGATCTTTGTCGTCCGCAATGTTGTGACCAGAGCTCTTCAACAGCCTCTTTAGCTCCGCCGCATACTCGTCTACTGACTCTGTGGATCCCATGGAACGCGCTTTGAACAAGCGGTAACACTCCGCAGCAGAAGGAGCAAAGGCTTCAGTCAACACCTTCTTCACCTCGTCAGGTTTCTCCTTGTCCGAGTCGGGCATGGCGTTGAATACAGTATACGCAGCCTTATCCAAGAGCAACGGCAAGTTTGCCATCTGCTCTTTGCCCGTATCCCACTTGTGGGATTTCGCCAGGATCATAAACTTTGACCAGAATACATCTAGGTCGTCACCTCGCCCTCGGTACGGACGCATAAATCCATCCAACTTCACAGACATTTTATTCTCATGAACAAACACTAAGACTTTCTATTTCCTTCCGACTCCACAAAAGTCCTACTCTGCAACACGTTGTCCCGGGTTTCGGCACCAGAAGCTGTTGGAGAACATGCACTCCACGCCGGCTTACGGCCAGTTCACTCACAACACCACAGAGCTTCCAAGGAAATTAGTTATTCTTCTAGATGGAAAATGAGAAACGTCTGTTATCACCACAAGTTGGAACTAACTCCACGCCAAGATCAAACGGAAGCTAAGCCAGAAAAAGAACCATGGCCAGCTTGCCAAAAGTAACGCGTAGCAAGCGTGCACGCAAGCACACTCCATACATAAGTCAGGATGCACACAAAAGCTACAAACTCGGAATAAGGGCAGCGCAGACCACGCCGAAACCGCAACTAGAAGATTGACCGCTGACAGGTCAATCAGTGAATGGAAAAGCATGCACCACCGCACGGACGCGCACTCACTAACCTACAATCAATACACGGAAAATGGCATCACGCAGAAGGTATACCAAGCAGAGCATGCACAAGTAACAATACAGTTCCAGCCAGTGGCTGCCACGTTACCATAAACTACAACAACATGTGTATGCAGTTACAACGGTTCTCAATCAAGTTGTTGTGAATGCTGTAATCAGGACACCTGCCTACATTGGGCAGGGCCGGCGCCACTGGTACGGCCGGTACGGCCATGGCCGTACCAAAAAAAAAAAAAAAAAAAAAACTTCCCAAAAAGTCGGTCTACTTGGCCATATGGAACGTCCAAAACCGGGGAGAAAAAGTTTCGATGTATGATTTTGTACAGGGAGTCGCCCAGAGTGCAGGATTTGCCGTCTAAATTCCAAAAATTTTCTCGGGGAGGACCCCCAGACCCCCCTTAAAGATGGCCCTTCGGCCGCATCACTCCGCGGAAGCTGCCTCCAGCCCTGTTGGGTAACTTACAATCATATGGCTGGTTTCCGGTGTGTCCACAATTGAGCCCTTCCTTTGTACTTGTATGTAGTAAACTAGAGCAGTCAGAGAGGCAGCGAGGTCAGTGAAGCAGCAGGCTTTAATGATAGCTTGCATGCCGTCCTACCGGTAGGACCCAAGAAATCGTGCTGCAAAAGTGCTTTTGGTTGAGAAATTTCTTGAAACAATTGTTGAGATGAGGTCTTTGTCAGGCAAAGCAATGGCGCAAAATGCAAGACTATGTCCAGTGCATTGCATACGCGCAGTTTTATCAATTGTCAAAATGGCCGCATATACTCCTGTCGGAGCGCTAGCAACTCTGTCCAAAGTGAATTTTGACCATGGCACATCAATCGTGGTAAGGTACTAATGTTTTTATCAGTCTGCCAAGGCAGTAGAATGCATAATTCCATACACCGTTTCCATGGTTACCATTTGCTGTTACCATGGAATTTCGTACTATGCCTTGTGCGATTACGTCTAAAATTTGTGGACTCCTTCATTAGCCCCTGAGCAACAGTTTAGGGTCAAGTTTTAGGTCAATGTTAGAACAGAGGCCATGCAGCATGTCTGTGTATGATGGTCCTACCGGTAGGTCCTACCGGTAGGACCGAGGTCTATGCAAGCTATCATTAAAATAAGAGGCTCCGGGGCCAGTGTCAGAGAGGCATCAGGATCAGAGAGGTGTCAGGGTTGACGAGGCGCCAGGGCTGGATAGGCATCTCCGGATGCTGCACAACCTCACACTACCACAGCCACTGAGTTGTTAATAACTAGAAAGTGAATACCATGCCTCTCTACTGGACGATGAGGTGGAACTTGACTTACTACAAGTGTATTGACCGGTCATGGTTGTGTTCCGAGATAGTACGTGTACAGTTGTGTTAGGTGAAATCGGACCCAAAATAACGTTACAAAGTTGGTGCCTTGGACCAGATCGCTGAAACTGTGCATGTGTACGGCCAGCATCATTCTCACCGCTTCCAGGGTGTCAAAGGCCGTGCATGTCAAGGGCAGCTGACCAGATGTGCACTTTTTTGGGTGGGATTTCTTCTAGCAAACTGCACTTCCAAGACGAAACCAATCACGGTTGTTTATACATCTTATGCTCTTTCTGTGGTTGATTTGTTTCCGCTGTCCATGTTCGTTTCTCTCTGCCATGCCGCTGGGCTCTGCCATGTGTTGTGGCATTACTACTGGTGACAGCTCTGGGATCTCAGGACCAAGTCACATGTAAAGTGAGTATTTGCTGGACCTCCCGCACTGATCACTGCCACTACGAAAATGCTGCATGGGTCACACATGGGGTCACACATGGGGTCACATGTGGGGTCACACATGGGGTCACACATGGGGTCACACATGGGGTCAGACTTGACAGGTCCTTGATCCTTTCGTCACGACTATCCTGCATGGTGCATACATGCAACCTCCGTAAGCAGCGTAGTTTGCCATTCTGGTTATGAGTTTGTTTCCATACGTCCGCTGTGTTCTCCTCCGACCGGTACTGCAGGACCTTAGGAGCATGCGGTCCGATTGTTACTGGTGATTCGCTGGACTACAAGAAGGCTGGTGATGTCATCCTTGTGGGTTCTCATTCTAGAGATAATTGTTTGGAGGTAAGAGGTCATTCTTGGTCAGTGACTTGTAATTTTAAAATTCAGTGCTGCTATTCAGTGTTCTGTAGTAATAGGTTCTTCTAGCAGTTTAAGTGGTCTCGCCTGGTTGCAAGAACCTACTACTCCTGCGAATGGATGGACCTATTGAAGATGGCATCGATGAATATTATTCTGTGTTCTGGCATGCATTGGCTGATTTCATGACTGTATTGATACCTACACTTGTCAGCAAAATACATGTACATGTTGGAGAGGAAGAATTTGCTTTCCTGATTTGAGATCTAGATTAGGAGTTGTTCCGGCACACGTATCAGCCAAGCCAGTGGGCATGGTCGTATCTTACCTATCCGTAACTATGCCACTGCATGCCGCTGTATGCCACTGTATGCCACTGCATATCCCCTGTATGACTGGAGTCATGACTGCGTCTTTTGTTTTGGTAAGATCCCTTCACCGGCAGGACACGACTGCATCCATTGGCTTGCCAGCAGCCTCACATTTGGAACATTGTGCAGTTTTGCTTGCTCAGTGTTGCTCTGAACTATATTGCTGCAGGAATACGATGTTGGCACAGGAAAGGTCATCTCATCTATCAAGTTGTCAGTCCCCTCCCAGGTATGCACGGTGCTGGACAATGCATATGCATGTACATGTCCACGAGTGACATAATATATTGGCTTGATGATGTAATGTTTCTACTGCTTCTAGCTGTTAGCTGCATCCACATGATTGTGTTGGCTTCAATAGCGAGGGGTTGAGTAGATGTGAATAGTATTTTTTCACCTGGAACCACACAAGTATTTTTAAATCAGTCAGTTAATACCGTGAAACTACTCTACTCTGGATGCCCCTAATCCGGGCATGTCCGTCTGTCGGGCACCTTTCTGACCCATCTAGAGTCACGAAAAATTGGCTTTTCATTCGAAACGACCCCAAAACGATTTTCTTTTCCATTCCCTCAACTAGTAAATACCACAAACTATTGATTGGCATAAAGATGTTTGCTTTCATGTACAGTAAAACCTGGTTTAAGCGACCATCTCACGGTGCAAGCAAAAGCGGTCGTTAAAGCCAGGTGGTCTTTAGAACCAGGTCCCACAGTGTCTGTGTAGAACTGTTGGTGCATGGAAAAAACGGTCTTAAGAGCAGGTGGGCGCTAAACACAGACGTCGCTTACACCAGGTTTTACTCTAGTAAGCATGCACATGTATGTTCTTAGTTACCGGGGCAATTCCTAGGGTAGTTTTACTGTATATGGCCACCATAATGTACACACCTGCCTGGAATGGGTCAACGGTTAGGTTATGGCCAGGCCGATCCGAAACTCCTTCTGTCAGGCCTGTTGTGCAGAACTTGTGCTGTGCAAGTCAGCCACAGCATCTTTTTGTTTTTGCAGAGCTCGTACATGTACATGTACATTCATGTACTTAACAGACATCTTCAAATTGAGCTTCTTTCATCAGCCACTGTTACTGATTACTCTATCCCTGTGCTGTGTGTTGTGTTTGCGCTCATACAGATCTGCTGTTGTCAGTACATGGGTGAAGATCAGAATGTAGTCTTGTGTGGTGGCAAGCAAGATAACATGATGAGAGTACTCAGTACTACGGGTGATGGTGGGGTAAGTGGGATCAGACCGCCTTATGCACATACACGTGTGGGCTTGAGGGACAGGGACAGGCAGATGGAGGGCGAAAGGGGGACAGGGATAGGAGAAGGAGAAGGAGGGGGTGTCATTGCACCGTCATTAATGGAGTTCCACCGTAAGCCATTCTGTTGGTTTATTTCTTACCAATGCTTCGTTGGGTGTGTCCCCTCCTCCTCCTCCCTTCCTCCTCCTCTTCCTCCTCCTCCTTCTCCACCTGCCCCATCCCTCCTCTAGTATTGTGCCATTATTGTTTCGACACAACGAGTGCACCGTGCAGTTCATTTACAATTTGTAGTCTCCATCATCATCAGTCTGTGTTCTGCTGTCATGCATGGACGTGTAGTATGTATGGTGATTGTGTACACACTGAACTTGGCCTGCCTACTTGCTGGTATCTGCAGATTTCATCCAAACTGGCCCTTTGTCTCTTTGGACCGATTATCGTTTTCAAGCGGGCGCTAACATGTTGTTTTCATGTTCTAAAGGAATTCACTTGTTGTTCATGTTCTTGGGTGTTTCTTATCTAGACACTGGCCCGTGTAAGCAATCTGGAACGGTCCGTGTACAGTGTTGCACACTGTAAGCCAAGAGATCACAAAGTAACTGTCAAAAGAAAAGGCGGCGAATTGGTGACGAGAACTGAACGCTTTGGATTCATCGCTATGTGCACAGACACTTTGGTGTGCATTTACCGTCATGAAATCGAATAAGTTGGCCATGCTGTTCTACCATACTGACCTGCTCCTATTGATACCATGGACGTACTGGATGTACTGCTGGATGTACTGGACGTACTGGTAAGACATGGAGTTGGGTTCCTGCCTTACTGATTGCTGGTGCATCGCTGTTGTTCCGAAAGCAAAGGTCGATACAGTACAACCCACATCTACTTCGAAACAGATCCACGAGAGTCGATGATACACCTGGTTGTACTCTTGGCCGATCTCAGAACCCTTCATTACCAATGGAACGGTTCTGTCTCACCGCCCACTTTTGACATGTGCTACGACTGCAGTTGCTGTCACGCGTTATACCGGAATGGATACGGTCTTCTTTCAAAGCTGACCGTTTGACTGTGCACATGGCAGCAATCTGTTGACCATGGTAATGGCACAGTGATAGTCACGTGACGAAATCAACTATATCTACATGTATATGCATAGAAGACTAGATGCAAACATGATCACTGACTGTATGCATAGAAGACTAGATGCAAACATGATCACTGACTGTATGCATAGAAGACTAGATGCAAACATGATCACTGACTGTATGCATAGAAGACTAGATGCAAACATGATCACTGACTGTATGCATAGAAGACTAGATGCAAACATGATCACTGACTGTATGCATAGAAGACTAGATGCAAACATGATCACTGACTGTATGCATAGAAGACTAGATGCAAACATGATCACTGACTGTATGCATAGAAGACTAGATGCAAACATGATCACTGACTGTATGCATAGAAGACTAGATGCAAACATGATCACTGACTGTATGCATAGAAGACTAGATGCAAACATGATCACTGACTGTATGCATAGAAGACTAGATGCAAACATGATCACTGACTGTATGCATAGAAGACTAGATGCAAACATGATCACTGACTGTATGCATAGAAGACTAGATGCAAACATGATCACTGACTGTATGCATAGAAGACTAGATGCAAACATGATCACTGACTGTATGCTGGTGGTGTTGCCACTCACGCACATTTAGTGTGCATCCCTTTCTTAGATCTGTACTACTAACATCACTATTACTCCGTGACCTGTGCCGACTGGTATGGTCATTGTGCTGCCGCTGACCTGACTGGGAATGATTTCCATGGCTCGGCTCAGTAATACTGCTGCACGTGTGATGTATTCCATACCCTGGCAAACATACAGTATGAACTATGCATTGCATGATGACAAGCTCTGCAGACGTGCAGCCCTGATCGAGTACTAGTACCCGCGGCTATACTTAGTAGAAGCCAGAGAACAGTTTTTATCATGCAGTGCACAGTGCACAGTAATGTTATCATGCAGTGCACAGTAATGGAACAGTGTCACAGTACATGCAGGGAGTCATAAAACACCGGTGGTTGCGCTGTACAACTCCCTGGTCACATGTAACAATTGTTACTTGAAGGATCATGTCATGAGCACGTGTGAATATCTCATGCGTGTGTGCTTTCATCCGAATCAGACTCGCCCTCCAGAGGCCCAACAAAAGGTTTCGTATTTTTCCTCTTAGCGTGATCAGGAACAAGACTTTTACATGAGCGTATTCGGCTTTTACCACTGCATGTGCATGCTATAGAATCTTTGGGCTTTCTGTAAAAATCGGAAAGGCTTTTTTCTGGACAGAGGGTGAATTTTAGGACAGTGTCCGATAGATCAGTGGCACAAATCAGAACCTAGGCCAGAGGCTGAAATCCCATTCGCTGCCTACTACACTAGGAAAAACGAGGTCTAGCTGCATATTGCTCCTCTGAGATGTGACAAATCAAACCAGACATGCAGACAAGCACGCCCACCCACACCCACCCACACGCACACAATACACCCACACACATCCGCACACGCACAATACACCCACAGGGCAACAGAAGAACAGATGTCTGGGAAATGGCCACTCTACTGAGCCAAGTTCCAAGTGTGGGAGCAAATTCATCCCTAAGTTCTTATAGGTTGATTTATAAATATTAAAACGGAACTCGCGATAAAACTTTCAAATAGTGCTAAAAAAAAGGATCAGAACCGCTTGACGGAAAGCCAATGTCAACATACGGACTTCAAAATATAGGCCAACGGTGCTCGATGGATATACATGCTGAGCACAAATTAAATACTGGAAAATATGTACAAGAGAGGAAGATCTACAGAGGAAAGGCACACCAATGTAAAAGGGAAGCGGAAAAGTAGCAAGAACATTGCCTTGGCTTGGTGAGTGTGACATATGACTCGTAGCACTGAGACACGCTTGCATTTTCAGCAGCAGCAGGTGGATTGTGAAGACAACGCATAATGTGGAGAGAAGAGTAGGGAGGGACAAAGAAACAGAGAGTGGGGAGGGAGAAAGAAAGAGAGAGAGAGAGAGAGAGAGAGAGAGAGAGACTGTGTGTGTGTGTGTGTGTGTGTGTGTGTGTGTGTGTGTGTGTGTGTGTGTGTGTGTGTGTGAGAGAGAGAGAGGGAGAGAGAGAGAGAGAGAGAGAGAGAGTGATAGAAAGAGAGACAGACAGACACCCGCCCACACCCGCACAGAGTAACGGATTGGGGAAGGGGAGAGGCAGCCAGAGAAAATGAAGCAGAAATCTAGTGCAAAGCAGAAATCCTAACCTACTGTAAAGACATGCGCAGACAAAAAACAGACAAAACAGACCACCAGTTGATGACCACACTGTGATATGTATACGGAACAGTGGGTATGGACAGTGAGCTGCAGAGATGTGCTAGACATGGTTATTGACATTTGGACCTACAACTAACAGCACATCTACCTATATTATACAGGTAAACTAAAGAGGTCACAGAAACTATTTTGTACATATGTAACACAGATAGCGGTGAGTGTTTTACACTGACAAAACTAGTTGGTAGCTTGACTACGCCGAGCTCTCAACAGTCCATTTCCAATGATGGCGGTAACACAAGCACAGGTTTCCTCTCTTTAAGTTTTGGCGACTTTCTAACCTCTGCACCTGCTGCTGTTGTTGTGACTGGCTTTGCTTGCTTGTCCTCACTTCCGTTAACCCTCTGCTCTGATGCCTGCTGCTGGCGACGTGCCTGGAGCTTATTTTCAGCTTCTTGAACCTGTCAACCAGCACAATACAATGAGTGTCCGATGATGTGAATTGCAGATTACCACCCATCTACACACAACCACATGCATGTTGAAGTGTGATGAACAGCATGCACGCCTGTAGCAACGGTGTTAGTGTACGAGTACAGGTACGCGTATGCACACAGTATTGGACTCGGATGGAGAGCCAAGGATAAATTTATAGTAAAGAAAAAAGGACCAAGAACCTACAAGTTACGCTATAATGTCCACTAACACCACCAGTTACTAAACAATCAGCTCATTGCACGGCACTGACCGACGGTACTGACGTTCTACAACTAACTGGCTAACAGCTCTAGCACATCTTGGTACACAGTTTTACTCTAATCTGGACTCAAGGTTAAATGTACACTAACCGTAGTTGTCATAGCAACTGGAAATTGGGAAATGTCTGCACTAGTTTTAGTTACTGATTTGCCAGCGCTGGCATACCATACTCAGTCGATCAGAAGCCAGAGGCTTCCATTCTTTTCAATCCCAATTTTGAAGAGGCTTTATTCAAGAGGGGCTTTTATTATTTAAATCCATACAGTATTCCAATCAAATCCCTAAACAAAATCCTACAAGTACTCAAAGCAAGCAATTCGGTGTCTAGTTAGTTCGCACATACTATGTCGACCTGGACATGTACCGGTACAGTAGACTCGTACGCCCAAGAACGTCCAGGCTGGAAATCTAAGAACGCCCCAGCCTGGATTTAAGAACGAACTCCAAGATTTTTAAGAAAGCGACATTGTTTGGTATTGCACGTTTCTGTATCAGAATATTTGAGCGCCGGTTTGTTTTGCAAGCGGATTGCACCTTCATGATCTTGTTCGAGTACACGAAAACAAGTCCGCAACCACAAACTCTTGTCGGGTCCTCGCGAAAACATCACCCAGTGCAGCGCTACATACTACACGTGCATACATGTATGCGCATGTAAAGTGTACAACCGATACATGTAGCGCAAAGTGCATTGTACATGAGCGTCACGGGTCATGTTGGACGCGTAAGAACGCGAAATAAGAACGTAGCCTGGGGCGCTGAAAAATAAGAACTTTGCTAGGCTGGCCCTCTGAAACCGCGTTCTTGGGCGTACGAGTCTACTGTATGTGCATGCATGACAATGCACGAAATCTTTCGTCCACTACCCTAGCTTGAGAACTAACATAGCAACAACACTAATATGCTAACAGACATGTACGTTTGCATGATTGGCAGTAGTAGTCACTCACGCTCATAACAACAAGCCCTGATTACATTTGAATGCGTTGAGTTCTTTGCCCATTGCTGCTCTCACATTTTGCTGATTGTAATAAAAGCTTTGTGTCGAGCAACAGTAAGGCTGTGTTTAACCCTAGCTTGAGAACTGACATAGCAGCAACACTAACCCGTGAGTACCAACACATCAACACGCTATAATCCCTGGCGGCCCATACCTAATTTCTATAGCTATAATCCCTGGTGGCCCATACCTGATTTCGGAGCTCAGCTACAGTTTGACGCAGTTCCACTACAATCTGAGCGGATGATTCATTCTGAGATTTCAGATGATTGACCTCGGCCAAGTCATCTTCAAGCTCTGCGTGACGAATCTGTGCAGCGAGAATAGGAATGCGGAGACCACCTTGGCAAGGTTACGGATATCGGTGTTAGTAGTGATACTGCCATCATGAAGCAATTTCTTGTTACACTACTGAGACTAGGTAGTTCGGTGCGCTACCCTAGTTGTGTAGTGTGTAATGTGCAGGAACAACATTTTAATAATATCAGAAATATAGTAAGGGCTTTTCGTGATCATTTCAGCAGATGTTCTTCTTAGCTTCGATCTTCAGCACCCACAGAGATAGAGGATTTATGAATAACACAGACATGCCTATAAGCATGCTACTTTTAGAAACCACATCTTCATGTCACGTTCACGCTTGTACACAGCTCAGAGCTACTGACCTTCAGCGATACGTGTGTCAACTCTGCCTCACGTAGTCGTTGTTCAATGACTTCTTTCTGCTGCGCCGACTCGGCCATTTGCCGCCGCCGATAGTTGACAAAGTTAGCAGAATCTACGGTAGGTTGATCAGATGCCTGTTGGAACAAGTAGAGCACACGTAAATGCAATGACGGTCCATCAGAGAGAGAGAGAGAGGGGAATAGATAGAGTTACGTACATAGCTACCCTGCTCTCTGGGGTCAAAGCCGCACTTGGATTTCTTGAAATAGCCAGGATACAGCTTGCGGCATTATACCTTGGTACACCCCGAGCAGTCAGTATAGTACAGACAACTGGTAACTGGAATGTGGCCAATCCACAGGTGCGGCTTAGACACTGACAAATACAGTACAATGTAGTTATCCAGACAGTGGGGTGCTGCACTTGTTTGGCAACATAGATACATGTAGCTATAAGGTTAGGTAGATTGGAGGCAAATACGCTTGTGCTAAGGTATTGGCAGGGGAACTGCACTGTAAGCAACTAGCATAACAGTCCTAGCAACGAGCATAACAGTCGTAGCAACTAGCATAGCAGTCCTAGCAACTAGCATAACAGTCCTAGCAACTAGCATAGCAGTCCTAGCAACTAGCATAGCAGTCCTAGCAACTAGCATAGCAGTCCTAGCAACTAGCATAACAGTCCTAGCAACTAGCATAACAGTCCCGGCAATGAGCACACTCCAACACCAGAGTCCTCACCAAGGGTCTGTTGATGTCCTGTCGTTCTGCTTTCCGTCGCTCTTCCTCTTCCTTGATACGACGCCGACCCAGCGCTAGATCCTTGCGTAGCCGGGCACCATCTGCAACCAGTTCTGCGTGTCCCATTTGACACGCCACCAAGTCGTTTGTTATCCGATGAACTTCCTGACAGCAGCAACAAACACCGGCAGAGAGTTATAATACAACTGTTAGATACGCGCACACGCTTCAGAGCCAAGTGTCGGCTGTAACACTGAACAGAGCCCATCTCTGAAGTCATCATTGACACACACACACACACACACACACACACACACACACACACACACACACACACACACACACACACACACACACACACACACACACACACACACACACACACACACACACACACACACACACACACACATCTCAGACCTGCCCATCGCAGAAGCAATGATACCGAACAGCTATGTTAGACATAGCAACTAGTGCTGGGATTACACCATTCAACAGCTTGCAAGGCTGATGAATTGACCGCCACTAATTTTTAGCCTGGTATCCACCACACAGCTGATTGAAGTGGCTTTTTCTGGCCAGTGAATCCCTATTTTTCATTTTTTTAATTCTTTTTTCTTTTTCGACACACACACCACACCACATACTCCGGCATACACTGGCTGCTGGTAACCACCCAGGAGAATGAAAGAAGAGCTAGGAGCATGAGAAAGAGAAGAAAGACGTGTGCGGCCATAATCGTCGGGAATTGAACCCGCAACCTCTCGACACACACACACACACACACACACACACACACACACACACACACACACACACACACACACACACACACACACCCAAACACACACACTTGTACTTGCTCACTGCCAAAACTGGTCACGTGGGTCTCCCCGGGAGAGGGGAGAGAGACTCAAAAGGAATCTTGGAAAGATTACTCAATTGGCCATTGAACCGCCCAACGGCCGACACCCCCTGAAATCCCCAAACTAGGGTGGACTTGAAATGATCCCACTTACGGGCTCACCACACCTCAGTAAGTGGGCGAGGACAAGGTGCAGAAAAAGGATTGACGGCATCAGGGTATCCGTCCGGGGATCCAACTGCAGTTACCCCTGCCCCCAGTGAAGGTAATACTTGCTACTAGTGTGGGTGGCTAAATCAGAGTGGATCTGATATACGCTTCACTAGCACCATTGATTACACAAGAGTTAATCTAGCCAGAAGCAGTCCATGGTTAAAACTTAACAGGTATGTATACTTCAAATAGAAAGTATATGAACCCTGAAGCCAACAAAGGTGGTAGGTACAACAATACACCTTCAAGCAGCCGAGCCCGTTGGCCACAGACCCAACACTATCTGGCATAAGTGTACCCACCAACCGAACTAGCTGGCACACACACACGCACGTGCGTAATGCATGCTGTGGCACTAGTGTGCACGGCTGACAAAAGGGCACAACAGGCCATGACTGAACACTGCAGCACATGCACTCACTACATGGCCATCTTACACATCAGTGGTTACAGTGCACAAGCAACAAGGAAGAACACATTGGACTCACTGCCTCGACATCTTCAATCCTCTTAGAGAGTTTGAGATTTTCAGCTCGGATAGCCTGCAGCAAGCATTGTCAGCAACCGAAGTAAACACAAGGAAACCCAAGTACAGATAAGCTAGGTTAGTTCTCAGCTATTGGAAACGAAGCAGTAGTGCAGTGAGTGACAGTGTGAAGCCTGAACAGTTAGTTGTCAGTGATACAGTGCTCTATCAGTGCACAATGTAGCTACAGTGTACAAAATTAACACAATGGACTGGAACAACGGAGTACATTTCGCATAATAGTACAGAAGGCGAGATTGAAGCGCAAGAGATCTCCACCAACTTTCACTTACTCTATTCTCTATTCCCTCCTCCGTGTCCTTTTCTCTCTGATGCTGATAGTCTTTGCCTAGTCTGGTGATAGAGCGTGTACAACACAGACACACAGATACACACAGACACAGACACAGACACACACAGACACACACATAGTGTGCAAGTGTAGGTAAGACACGTCATTACGAGTATAACTATCCTAGTAAGCCCTTCTTTGCGGTATACAATGGTATAGGCCGAGCGCAAAATGATGAAGTGTGTACAAAGTGTGCATAAGCCTGTAGGGTGAAATTGGCGTTGTACTGTTTCTAGATCTGCATAGCACCAACAATCTCTTGAAACCACCCATTTCATGCCGAACATGGGTACGAATGACATCAAAATGCCATTGTACACGTGGTCTATTGAGCACTCTCGCAAGACAAGGCGAACTTAGCTTTGTTGAGAGAGATAGAAAGAGAGAGAGAGAGGGAGAGAGATGGTAGATAGATAATATAAACAGAGGAGGAGCTAGCAGATCAAAGTGCCTGTGGGCAGGTGGCGTTATAATGCGGATGTCAGAAACTCACTTGACTAATTTCTTATGTGACATCTTCAAGCTGTATGCTTTCTTGATAAGAGCATCAATAGATGCCATTGAGCTGTACGAAGTTCGTAACTCAGTCTGAAGTACCTGAGAAGACATGGTGTGAAGGAAAGAACAAAATAGATATCATGCATTTTGTTTGGACTTACAGAGACTTTCAAGTATGAAAAAGGCGATGTTTTGATTTGTTCTACGTGTGTGTAGGGCAATTGCAGGATTGGGTTACTGTGGTGTCATCTTACTGCAAGCACAGTCACAAGTTGTGCAACACATTTTGTTGCTGGTGATGTCAAGCATTGGTGTGTGTGTGTGTGTGTGTGTGTGTGTGTGTGTGTGTGTGTGTGTGTGTGTGTGTGTGTGTGTGTGTGTGTGTGTGTGTGTGTGTGTCCCATATGGTGCAGTGGTATGTGCAGTCGATTTCCAATCGAGAGGTTGCGGGTTCAATTCCCGACGATTATGGTCGCACACGTCTTTCTTCTCTTTCTCGGACTCTTCCTGACTTTTCTTTCATTCTCCTGGGTGGTTACCAACAGCCAGTGTATGCCGGAGTATGTGGTGTGGTGTGTGTGTAGAAAAAAAATGGAAAAATGAAAAATAGGGATTCACTGGCCAGAAATAGTCACTTCAAACAGCTGTGTGGTGGATACCAGGCTAAAAATAGTGGCGGTCAATTCATCAGCCTTGCAAGCTGTTGAATGGTGTAATCCCAGCACAAGTTGCTATGTTTAACATAGCTGTTCGCCATCATCGCTTCCGCGATGGGCATGTCTGAGGTGAGGCATGTCTGAGGTGAGGCATGTGTGTGTGTGTGTGTGTGTGTGTGTGTGTGTGTGTGTGTGTGTGTGTGTGTGTGTGTGTGTGTGTGTGTGTGTGTGTGTGTGTGTGTGTGTGTGTGTGTGTGTGTGTGTGTGTGTGTGTGTGTGTGTGTGTGTGTGTGTGTGTGTGTGTGTGTGTGTGTGTGTGTGTGTGTGTGTGTGTGTGTGTGTGTGTGTGTGTGTGTGTGTGTGTGTGTGTGTGTGTGTGTGTGTGTGTGTGTGTGTGTGTGTGTGTGTGTGTTTCCTTACCACTCTACTCATTTAGAAGTACGGAAGCTCAGTGGTGACAAGTGAGATCCAACATTGTGAATAAAGTAGAGCCGCATTCACTGCACTGTCCAGTGCCTGCAGTGCTAGCAGTGTGCAGGCCCGCAATTGCCATCATTCACGAGGCTGGATTTCGTTTGCAACAACTGAACAGCTGCAAGTTCTAGGAGCCAGCCTAACGTTACATTGTATGCAGGTACCCGCAGTACAGAATACGACACAGCAAATCAACAGGAGATGGATTGATGTCCTACAGGGATATGTATGGTATAATATAACATGCTGTCGACATCGAAAACATGTTAGGGATATGTATGTACACACATACATTCATCATTCCCGGCATGTCCAGTTTGAGGAGCTGCTCACGCTTGTCCAGTAGAATAGCTAATGCAACACGGAACACAGCATCCATGCCCTGCAAAACAAATACATACATACATACATACATACAATGCGCACATGCACACACACATACCTACTTCATCACGCATCCTTGTGTCAATCTGGAGCTGTAGCGTGTACATTGTAGATCTACATGTACATGTACTACTTAGTAGGGCTCAAACGGTTAGTCCGATTAACCGGTTGCAGACCGGTTACGAAGGATTAACGGTTAACCGATAAAGATAACGGTTACGCAGTAACTTTTCAGTCAACTTTTCAAGTATCAGGTCGTTGCAAAGTATGCACTTTCGCAGGCTGTCGCACGCGTACGCAATTTCTGGGCTGTCAACTCGGTCATATCTGGTCTCTTCGTGTGAGAGTATGTATGAATGAGCATGCAAGAGAATATACATGTGTGCGTTGTACTGAATAGGGTACATTTTTTCAATAAGTATAGTCAAATATACGGTTAAAAAAGAGTCCGCAGGATTGCCGTGGCTTATAGGTTATAACCGTTAAACCGACCGTTAGCTTAGCAGTTAACCGTTGGGGGTAAAACCGTGACCGTTTGAGCCCTACTACTTAGCCAATTAGCCAGGGGGAGGAGGGGTGGTGAGGGGAGAGGATAAATTGTCACTGCCAGGCAAGAAATAACCAGGGGATTGCCAAGGAGTAAGAAGATGGAGCACACTCTAAGTTGTCACTGCACATCGGTCAGGATATGGTGTAAGTGGCACACAATGAAATGGGTTCTTGGTTAGAGGACAGCAAATCAGCACATGAAGCACAGAAGCCATAATATGGTCGACAACTATAGTATAGTTTGGACTAGGCATTTCGTACCATTACTAGTCGGTACTTTACCATGTTAATGACCCTTGACCCCCGGCCTTGTATTCGACATGAAAAGCAATGGTACGAAAGGCCTAGTCGAAACTATACGGCTTCCGTGCTTCGTGTGCTGACACACAATGAAAGCGTTTCCAATTTCAAACGAGAAATTGACTGCCCTACCCAACAAAGGGGATCACCAATCCATCAGCCAGTCACAAAAGCACACAGGAATGAGTTTCATGACAAAGCTGGTAACACCTAGATCTGAATTACCGGTAACCGGCACTTCTTAGTTCTTACATCGCAAAGGAACAGGTCCATGATGCGGAACGCAGCATCGACATTAAGCGTGGAGGCAAATATAGTCAGGAACCATGACGATGCGAACATGGTCGCCACCATGCCTTTATCTTGAATGTGAGCATGTAAATCACTGCAATGCTCCTAATGTGGGACAACACAGGAATAAGAACAAGAAGAAAAGTGAACAGGATCATGGATACACACATACACACATACACACCATGTATACTATACACAATCATACACACACACACACACACAGACACAGACACACAGACACACACACACACAGACACACAGACACACAGACACACAGACACACACACACACACACACACACATGGTCCTGGTAAACACTGACATTACGGTCATATGTGCCCTTGCGGGGCCGACAACTTGGAAACGACGAGCGACGGCAGAAAGTCGGCACTCTGCCGAGAGATCAGGGACCATGTTCAATCGGCACGACGAGAGAGCCATCTTTGGCAGCTATGGATTTGGAATCCACGAGTAGAGCGGCAGCACCGACCACAGGCCCCACAGTGGACCTTGCCGCATGAGAGGGCGAGCCGCACACGCGGCGGCGGAGGAGTCGCCTGAGCAGCAATGGTAGACACCGCTGCCCGGCACGGAGCCTGAGATGATGTCGCGCGCGCACACACACACACACACACACACACACACACACACACACACACACACACACACAATGTACCATGTACCATGTATACATGTATACGCCCGTCACAAGAGAAGCACGCAAATACACACACACACACAACCAGAGGGTTGTGGGGTCTTGCCTGTGCTAGCTTGTCCAGCAGGTGAAGGCAAACATCCAAGGCCGTCATGCTTGGTTTGAAGAGATCACGCATGCCGTAGTGGTGCATGATTCGTACAAAGATGTAGAATGCATCCTCTTCAGGCATCTGATTGTAAACAAGAATATAAGAACAGCAATGCTACTAAATTTAGGGACCATCCATGGTGTACCGATTTTCCATGATACCACCTTACCAACAATTGTAACACAAAAGTCACAGCTGATCTTCAGTTGCCTGATGAATGCCTATGGGCATGAAACTATTACAGTCCATTCATCGGAAACTGGCCCGCTGGCTTTTGAAAGTCGGATTTGGGCCGAATTGAGGATCAAAAACCCACTTTAAATCTCAAAAATCTGGGTTTTGGATCTGCTTCTCCATACATTTTGCCATGGCATACCTGTCCTAATTTTGTAAAACCTGGCTGAATTTCTATTTCCCTGTTCTTGGACTTTTCTGGCCTCAAATGTGGCAAGGAGTAATTGCACGGGTCACACAATGCAGGATGTACTGTTGTTTTCACGATATCTACAACTATGTGAGAGAGACACCAAAAAGTTAGGGTGCCAATTTCCAATGAATGGACTGTAGTTACAACCATGAAACTACTAGTTACAAGCATGATGATGAGTTGTGCTATGTGACTTGTGTCAACCATAGCTATGTTCGAATGAACATTGAGCACGCTACCGAGCCAGAGGACTCTCATTTCCAATAATTTTAACAAACACAACCGATGCTCCCTGATGATGCCCTCCTGGGTGAAAATTTGGAAACAATCGCTGTACGTGGTGTAACCGAGGACTGTTCGTGTGTTGCAAGTTGGAGGTGTAGTGAAAAACCCACACACACACAACCAGTGTTGTCACACTTGTCTTAAGCCACTGCATGTGGCAGCCTTGAGCAAGTGAAACACCGACACACACCATGCTTTACATACACCCATGCACCCCTCACCCACAGACACACACACACAGAGTCACCCCACCCACCCACCCAGGCCAGGACAGACAGACACACACACATGCACACACACACAGATATACAGCACCAACCTGCATAAGCAGAAGACCTGCAATGAATGGTGATCCCTGACAATAGCCAACTTCACGGTCATAAATGGAGTAGGCCTGAAGAGATGGCAACAAAAGCAGCAGCAGCAGCAGCAGTTGAAATTAAAAACAGCACAACAACAACCAAGATACCACTTTGGATAGTGTTGACTTGATCCAGCCCAGTGAGTCAGCTATCGGTGAACACTGTGCACCTCTAACCCTGCCAACTCTGGGCTGTGTGCACTGGGGCAGACCGTGCAAACTTGTTCATTCAGCACGGCTGTACTCTAAACAATAGTATGGCGAGCAAGGAGCTCCTAACCTTCATCATGTTCAACAGAGCTACTTGTCCATGCCCATCAGCCTCCTTGAACATCTCCTGATCTGGAAACGTGCGTGCCAGATCTCGACGAATGATCTTGATGAATGGCGAGTCACGCTGGTCAAAAACAAAACACAGAATCTAGCCGATGAGACGCAACAGGACGAGAGAGATATCCAAAACAAGTCGCACATACGACTGTGGCAGAAAGACAGTTCATGTCTTTGGTGGGCAATGACAAGACATCAGTTCACGCGGCGAAATCATTACTGTACCTCAGTACTCCACACGTCAACAAAATAAAAATCAATGTGGAATTTTTATGCATCCTGGTAGCATTCTCTGGACAAGGATGCAGTTGAAAGTTGAAACTACGACGATTGTTGCAGCTCAGAACAACTTCATATGCGCCGGGATTATGTTACTTGAGCACCATGTTCTAATTTCTAACCTCCATTAAATCCGTATAGGCTCTTCTGAGTTGTTCTTGTTCTTGGTCAGTTCCTTTGGCTAACTTCATCCAGGCCAAACATCGCACTTTATCAGGAACACCATCATAAACCAGCTCTCGTATCGTCTTCTTGCGCCGCTTTGCAGAATCTTCCCAGCTGGCCAGAATATCACCCCAGAGCTAGACAACACACGAACACACAAACAAACAAACACACACAACATACTATTCTCAATTGCACTGCAAAGTGCACGTCTAAAGGAGAATTGCCCTCCTGTCCTAAAGCAGCAGCAGCAGCAGCAGAAGCAGAACCAAGTACTTCAGTACAAAGGAAACAATAATGTTGTTAATCTCCACAGGATTTAATACCTCATAACTATCTTTGGCAGCTGTCGGTGGTACTACATCTTTCAAAGCTGAAGGGCTGTACGTGAAAAAGAGAGGAAGACAAAATTAATATTGACACATTATTTTAAAAATTCCAGATGGGTACCTTGTAAACCTTCGCTACTTTCTTCTCAACATTATAAAAAGGAACAGTTACCAAACACGGCGTGTGTACGCATGTACAAGTGAGCGACATGCTTCTCTTGCAATGGGATTTCTGGTGGTGGTGGTGGTGGTGGTGGTGGTGTGTGTGTGTGTGTGTGTGTGTGTGTGTGGATGTGTGGTGTAGACCAGGCTGAATAGTGGCGGCCAATTCTTCAGCTTTGCTGTTGAATGGTGCAATCCCAGCACAAGTTGCTATGGCTTCTGCTGTAGCATCGCTATCGTCGCCTCTGGCGATGGGCGTCCAATGGTCCAATGCCAATGGTGTATGCGTGTGTACATGTGTGTGTGTGTGTGTGTGTATGCATGTGTGAGAGTGTGTGCACACATGCGTGCATGTGGCATGCTTCTTATGCGATGGTTGTACACAATGGCGTAATATGTATCATGTACATGTATGCTGCCGCAACGTTAGCGACACACACACACACACACACACGTGTGCACGCTTATAGATAGATGCCGGTGGCATCATTCTAGCATCATGACAAGCTTACCCATCACTTTCCACATCGATGCGCAGGGTGGTCAGCAGGAATGCCCCAACCACACTGGGACGGAGTGATGAGCCTCCCGATGATCCGCCAGTTGAACCAGGCAAGAAACGACTTGTAGTAGACGGCTTCCTGCTGGATGGACCATCGACTTCATTAGAGTCTTTCGACACACAGGAAGAGTTGCTGAGAATTGAATCACGTGAGCTTAAAGCTCTGCGATACTCCGGAAACCTGCAGCACCCCACAATAGCAAAATATTGTACCTGAATGATGACAGGGTAACCTTGAAAACAGGTCAGAGTGTTTGCTGCAGACTGGTCAGCATTCCAGAGCTCCCCCCCCCCCCCCCACACACACAATGTTCAGTGGAAACAAATTCAAACAATCTGTGCATCTCTCTACTCAGTGCTTCTTGCTTCTTACACAATCATCAGGAGACTAAGCTTAGCAGAGTGAACAGTGGACAAAGAATGTAATACCCTTGGCACATTGCTGGGAAAGTGGTGTGTGACTGGTCAGCGCAATGATATAGTGGACGGTATAAATATTGCAGAGATTGGCGCGATGGGTAGTGATGGAGCACGTTGCACGGCGCCGCAGGGATGGGAGGTGAGGCGTAGCTGCCTGTGAATAGGTAGGCACCTGAGCAGGATGATCAGTGACTTGTGATGAATGTACTTGCAGTAATCTGCATTCATAATATTATGCTGTACATTGAACGTACATGTACATGCATAAGATAAACCTTGTACTTGTACATGCATAAGACAAACCTTGTACTTGTATTGTAGAAACACGTTTTTAGTTTAACAGCATACAGTAGTACAAGGCGGCGGAACACCGCTGAATGCTTGTAGTAAGGGACACTGTTTCCGAATACGGTGTTCCACCGCCTTGTACTGTAATGTGCTGTCAAACTAAAATTGTACATGTATATACGTTAATACGTCTGTGTCGCATCTAGGCTCTAAAGTAGGTAGTATTTTGATTCATGACTTCATTGGAACACGAGCTCTGAATAACGCTTGCGGACTGATCTGGCCTTGTCGGCATTGCTGATGAAGAGTTTTCCTGTCAGGCACAGATCACATCTTTTAGTGGTGTTGTATGGGCATGCCTAGTAGAGAATGGACCAGTTGATAGTATAGGCCCTGTGAGTGCGTCAAATCCCGCCGTCAATCATGTGCTTGGAGAGTTGCGTGTTGTGTGTGTGTGTGTGTGTGTGTGTGTGTGTGTGTGTGTGTGTGTGTGTGTGCGTGTGTGCATGTGTGCATGTGTTTTGGTCAGAATGATGTCAGGTGATTGGTTAGTCGCTGTTTGAAAGTAGTCTTGGTCAGTTCGTGGTAGGTCTTCGAGGCACCTTTCCCTGCGACATCCAGCGCGTGAACCTCGGGCCAAATAGATGAGCTTGTCAGTCAGGCATGCATGTGATGGGCTGCCCATCAAGAGGGCATGTTGCCTCCGTCCGGCACTTACACATCTTGGACTTTGCTTCAACCAGCTTAGGAAGTTCCGCTTGTGCCAGGCCACCACCATACCTGACTATACCAAGGTGGCAGAACCTCCAACTAATGATCACCTGCCACTAAATACCACTTTTTAGCTCCAAAGGGTGGTCGTTAGGCCAAGCCAAAGAATATACTTTATGATCGTCCTCACCTGCCACAAATTTGGGGGCCGCCCCGGGAATTTATTATTATCCAGTCCGTACGGAAAATGTTGAGTTCCGGTTAGTGTACGCACATGCGAGCTGCACGTACGCATGTATTGTAGTATCCGCGGGCCGGGCTGGCCGGCTACGTGTTTTTTTTGGGAGGGGATACATACAGGTATTTTGAACTATCACTATTGTCGACAAAGTAATACTACTTGTAGGACCCTCCGTATGCTTTCATATCCTTTGACCTCACATTCGCATCCATGGAGATGTAGGATCATGCAGCCCGTAAAAATTAATAGTAATGGCAAGGACAAATTCAAACAGTCACTTCATGGAATTGTCCGGAATTTCAGGATTTCTGTACTGCAATCAGGACAGTGAACTTACGTAGTCTGTTCATCCAGGGACCTTTGCATTTGCACAGCACTAGTAGGATCTGACTTCCTTCGGGTTTCACCGCCGTCTGTTTCTCCACTAAGATCTTGAACATCAGTGGCATTTATTCCGGGATCCATATCTCAGCCTGCCGTCGACACCGGCATCAAAACTCGAATCGCAAATCCTGAACTATGCTTGGATCGCGACATCCATTCTCATTTGAACTGGCGGTACGCGGTGGTGAGAGAAAACCTACGCCTACGATATCACCATCCTAAGAAGTTACCCTTTTGGCCATATGCTGTCCAATAGGACACCCAAATAATAATTGACCAATTAGTTGACAAGAACTTACTTGAGTAATCCCCACATGCGGATTCAATATTTGTGACGCGAAGCCAAAACGGCAAAAAGCCTAAAGGGAAGGTGAAGATATACGCAGCGCCTTGGAGGCGCCACAGACGCCTCGCTTGGAATAAAAGGAGAAGAACGTGATGGTTGTACAAGCAGTCGACCGTGCATGGCCTATGTAGTATAATGTAGGGCTAGCCGGCTCTTGTCTCGTCAAGGATCTGTCTTGTGTGCGCGTGGAGGTCAGCCTGCTGGCCAGGGTTCATTCACCGCTTGCTTGGCGATTGAGGGTCGAGTCCTGGACCGAATGAATGAACTTACTAACTAATTTATTGTTTTTTTTTGGATTCAACTCGACAGAGTTTGGAAGGGCGAGGATCGGTTTCTTCATCGTAACCTCCTTGTACATGCGTGTTTGTAGTTCAGCTCAGTCCCTGCCATGGATGGACTGTCATCATCTAGTGCTTCTGTCGTTCTGAAGCTTCTGTGCTCCATCAAGAAGAATTGCGAGAAAACGAGTGTGAAGCTGGACATTGTCAAGCAGCTGTTGACCAACTTGAAAAACGGCTGGAGAAAGGAAGAGTTTGTGGATTCTGCTGATGTCGCTCACAGCATTGTCGCCAATGCTCTGGTGGATTTGAAAACTCGAATAATCGTAAGCCTCGCGAAAATGCTCGTGCTTTTAGGGTCCCCCCCCCCCTACCTTATATGATTGTGCATGTTTATCATGCGGAGATTGAGATACTGTCTGTAGTGGATAAACTACAAAAGGCCATGGCTGTGCATTGTTCATGGTGTTGGTTGGTGGTGATTGTAGTTCTGACTACTTACATGTATGCAGTACCATGGCACGTTAGGCATGTACACTGCAAGCAGAAGTTCAAAACAAGTTGACTTTAAAACTCGCCGGCTGTAATTATAAGCCCTATACACATCGTACAGATGTACGAAATCCCGTAGAATCCCTTTTAGACCCGATTAGGTGTTGAATGTACTGAGCCCTGTTGTGTTTACCGCGCTGTTTGCTTTACGAGATCTGCCCCGAAGGCATTTCATACAACTTTTTTTCGGACGAAGAAGGTCTAGCTAGTCCTTAGCTCTATCCAAAGTGATGAACAAGCAGTTGAAACTAAAATTTTAATTCCCGTAGCTATGCAGAAGACGTTACTTCAGTAACGTCTGGCGCTAGCCAGGGTCCACACAGCTTTAATTTGGTGTTTGTTTGTTTGTTTGTGTCACGCCTGGCGCTATCCCGTATCTGTCCCGTACTGTACCGTACCAGCAGACAGCTGGCCACAATACTTTTGTTTGTTTGTGCCATCGACATGCCTGGCGCTATCCCGTACCTGTCCCGTACCATCAAGAGTACGGTACCATCAAGAGAATGAATATATATGCGAAGTGTATGGGGGAATGCATTCAGTGCAGTAACATTTTGTGTGGATTTGTGTGCGAGGCCGAGATCCCACTAGCAGGCTGGCTGGGCCGCCTGTCGACCAGCCCGGGAATCGCATGAAGGCCGATAGCATCATAATTATAACGTATATACAGTCATGTAGATGTATAGCAGGGAGTCATATTATGTAAACGACTCCCTGCTGTATGGGGAGATTTTCTGGAAAGAAATACGAAGTAGGCCTTGGCAGATAATGCCGGCAGAAAAATTGGCAGAATTCGGTACTTTTTCTGGTAGGTTTCATGCATGTTTGGTATGTGGATAAAGAAATGGAGCAGAATTCGAGGAATTGCACGCCATAAGGTTTGTATGGTTCTGCCAATTTCACTGCTTTTCGAGCAGAATCTGCCACCTTTTCGAGCATTATCCGCCAAGGCCTAATACGAAGTAGGGAGACGAGTAAATGCAATCAGAATGGATGTTAGTTGCCGTCAGTATAATAATAATAAGAAGAAGAACGCCCGTGATCGGCAGAGTCAGCGCCGGTCCCAGGAAACGTCAGGACAGACATTCCGTCGACTCCAGAACGCCCGTGATCGGCAGAGTCAGCGCCGGTTCCATAGCTTTGCAGAAGACGTTACTTCAGTATCTCATTGAAACGTTTTTGCAATACAATGATGTAGCTAATCAAAGGAAAAAGCATTTCCATCAGTTCTACCAACATGCACGATGAGCTAGGCAACAAAGCATAGCGCAGGGCCCTGAGCTTCCAAGCTCTCTCGTTCGTCGATCTGCAATAAAGATGTACGTACCTGTATCTACAGTCGTTCGCTGGGCCATGGGTTTGACATCCAGCATTCGTTAGCATTTCATGTCGCTAACTAACGAAAACCTGGAGACCTTAAATGACGTTTAAAAAATCATCTGGTCTTACAGTACCGGTACTGCTTAGTAATTACATGCATGTTTGTATGGGGCATTCTGAGGCCTGGGTTTGACAATTCTCAAATGATCAGAATGAGCAGATTATGGCCATGTGCGAACTACTGGAATCTGTCGTCACAATCCACTGGACGAAACTGTGGACAAGGATCATATCCACAACTGCTTGTACAGTATCAGTAGTTGTATCAAGCGTACGTAATAGTATTATAGTAACCATGCTTCCAGGGTCCCTCCTGTCTTGTATTAGTAGTGCATAACCCCCAAGAGTGTGCAGCTCCGGCTATGTGGGGTCTTCGGCGGCAGAACTTCACATCACGTGACAAACCCGTACACATTATTTGCACCCTGTGCATGATGGATACAGGGCTTAGGGTTGTATGCTACCCTGCTTTTATTTGGTTCAACTCCCTGCTGGTGGTCACGTTGCACTGTTTGCCAGCATAACCTGGTAACCGTTTGAATCCTGTCACGTGATGTGAAGTTCTGCCGTCGCAGCACTGGAAAGAGGTTGTGCGGGCCGTTGAACACTCTTGGGCCCATTTGGGAGTCGTATACGCTTGGTAGTATACGTATCAGCGGACACACATGGTATATGAGTGAGAGACCATCAAATGTGGGCGATTCAGAAATTCTGCCTTCACTTTGGAATCTGTGGATTACATGGATACTGACGACGGAATCTGTGACAGTGTATGCATCGTTGGGAATTTCAGAAAGGACGGCATTTTTTGTTTTTCTTCTTCCGTGGTAGGGTGGGTGGGTGTCAGCTGAAACAAAGCTCTTTTCATTTTTTTGTGATTTTTATAAATTTGTTGATGGCCACTAAAGGGCACCTCCTCTGCTGAATCCTGCACATTGCACATTGGCTCAGAGTGCGATTTCACAACTTCAAAGTATTGCCTGTTGCAGTATGATGCGCTGTACTGTGTACTGTGTGAAATCTAATAGTGATTACTGCACAATGCGAAACAAGTCAAACAGCCAAAAGACCTCACCTTGTATCACTGCTTCCTGTCAGTGTGCAAGCAGTACGTGCTGGCTGCTAGTACTAGTAGTTGTTGATCTTTACATTTACCTAGCATATTGCATGGGCACACTGCATGGGCATACTGCATGGGCACACTGCACAGGTGCTATTGTAGTAGCAAGGGTGCATACTGCATAACACGTAGATGTACTGTCAGCCTGTTATCTGTCACCTACAATGCAATCCCTTGTTCAATGTTCATCTTAGCATTTGCGTCAAGATTAACACCGTGTGGATATGTATAGCGTTGGTCTATCACAGCATTTTCTCTCTTTCGTTCCGTGACCTCTTTCTTTATCTGTCTCTGTCTCTATCTGTCTCGTTCTCTCTCTTTCTCTCCTCTCTCTTTCTCTATCTATCTCTCTCTCTCTTTCTCTCTCTCTCTCTCTCTCTCTCTCTCTCTCTCTCTCTCTCTTCTCTCTCTCTCTCTCTCTCTCTCTCTCTCTCTCTCTCTCTCTCTCTCTCTCTCTCTCTCTCTCTCTCTTTCTTGTTCTTCTTGGTTTTGTTTTGCAGTGTCTACAGCAAGAAGAGATCCTGCCCTCTCTTGGTAAGTTCTTTGAAGTAGTGTGGATAGTGTGGATGCTTGTCAGTCTCTTGTAGTCTCTGTGTCAGTGTTTACTTCAATGCATGTATATGAAGCACTCTACAGTATCCTGTTTCCTTGTACAGTATCATGATACAAGCGGTGGCTATAGGCATCATGGTGGTGCACAGTGGCCAGGGTATAGGTGGCTATAGGACAAGTGTTTGGTTTGAACGTTGCATCAAGACTATGTAGATCAGCCTGTGCAATTCATCATAATTATGGATTCTGGACGGAAGAATTCGTCGTTTACATTAGTTTTGATGAGTCATGGAAACCGTGAACCGCTAATGTACTGTTGCCCTGCTCCATATCATTACGGTCTGTGACATCAGTTTTTACTGTACACTGATATAAAAAAGTGGTGTACGAGTAAGTGACGCCCACCACTGACTAAGCTACACAGTGCACACTCTGGCTTATGTATCTTGGTAGCATGTATAGTGTGGCGACCATGAGCAGTATCACCGCCACTGTGATGCTATATCTGTTGTTTCTGTTTTCTCAACACATGCCAATGCATGCGCTTGTATTCTCTGTAGTGTGGTGGCTGAAGTATGAGAAGGCATCATGCAGCTTGCTGTCGCGTGTTCTCCGTTGCCTGACGAATCTCGCTGGCTTTGAAATTGATGAACAGCTCCGTATCAGTACCAGCAGCAGTAGCAGCCGCGGCGGTAGAGCTGATGTTGTTCAACTCCGAAAGTCTCAGTCCGCAGAAGGCCTCAAAGCTGTCTTGGCATGCCGAGACTTGCCTGATATTACGGTGAAGTTATTTGTAGAGCATTGCGCCCATCGGCGCTGCATGTTTGGTCTGTGTAAGGTGTTGACGTTGTTTGTTCGTGAGGCTCCCTGGTGTCGCCAACAGATTATGACTGAGAAGAAGGTGTTTGAGTCTTTAGTAACAGCTTTGAGGTATGTTGTGTAGAGCGTATACTTTGGTGTGTGGTGTGTGTTGTGGTATGCGGTGTGGCACAGATAGGGCGTGTACTTTGGTGCGTGGTGTGGTATATCGGAGTTCTAGCCGGGGAAAAAATTGTAGGGAAATAAACAAGCCACCTATTTTTTCCATGTTCCGCTCGCCTCCCCCCCGGCTAGAACTCTGGTGTATGGTGTAGTTCATACAGGGTCTTGTTCTATTCTTGGCTGCTTGCATGTTCACTTGATGTTGTATTCTTGATTGGTTCCCTTGTGGCAGTAGGACTTGTAGTGTAGGTCTACTTGGTCTAGTGCACTCAATATCCACTGTGTCTTGCATTGTACTAAGTGACGCCATGTGTACGATCATGTGCAGCATAATGCCAGCATTCCTCTTCTGTCAACATGTGCTCTCTGTTGTCTGTTGTCTACAAGTAGGACAATCATCTAATAGCAGTGCAGTAGTAGTAGTAGTAGTAGTAGTAGTAGTAGTAGTAGTAGTAGTAGTAGTAGTAGTAGTAGTGGTAGTGGCGGTCTAGCTGCTTCCGTATAGGATCACCAGGACTATAACTCCTGAATGCTGGTATATCCATGTCGGTCGTTTATTGGATCAGGAGGGTAGTGATCATGGACTTGTTGCATGATGAAGCCACTCTGACTCGCCTCTACATTTCTACATTCATTCCTCTCCCTGTCCATGTCTTCTTCTGTTTGCTTTTCTCTAGCTGCAAGTCGGTTGAGTTGACACAGGCTGCCTTATCTACAGTGGAAACATGCGCATCAGTTAACACCAGGTTTGCCAAGCTACTGGGCTCGGCTGGAGCTGTTCCAGTCATAGTACAACTTGCTGAGCATTCACATTCCAAGGTACAGTAGTGCATGCCATGCAGTATGTGCGTGGTTCATGTGCAGTGGGCTGTCGTTACTGGCATGCACAGCCTCTGTTGCGTCTATAATAATTCAGTTCACTCTTACCCGACCTTGATGAGCGTGATGACGGCTTGTACTGTTCTGTACTTGTGGAGTATTGAGCAAGACCCAGTCCGGTGTTGGTGGATATCTGCAGGAATGGTGCCAGCCATTAGTGCAGAGACCCAGTCCGGTGTGGGTGGACATCTGCAGGAATGATGCCAGCCATTAGTGCAGAGACGCAGTACGGTTTGGGTGGATATCTGCAGGAATGATGCCAGCCATTAGTGCAGATATCCAGTACAGCACCACCTGTGGGCGAGTTCAATATTCCAATCGCATGCTAACCTCTGACCTGCCGGGCCCTAAACAAATGAATGTGGTACTTAACACTGACAGTTCTCTGTACATGTTGTACCGGTTGATACAGCATGGGTGTGTTTGTGTATTGATTCCTGTTCGGTACTGTTATCGCACTTTTGTTTGTTTGGTGAGTTCTAATTTTTCAGTCTTTTTCGTGCTATACCCTCCAACTGAAAATGACATCCCATCCGATTCCATCATAATAGTTTTATTTTTAAAATGAAGGTGCTGAAATAGTTGACACTGAAAAAAAAGTGACCCAGGGGTTGCAAAAATTGCTTTCCACTGAGGATACATGTGTTAATGGTCAGCTTTCCCTCTGTTGTGTGTGTGTGTGTGTGTGTGTGTGTGTGTGTGTGTGTGTGTGTGTGCCTGCTCTCCAGATCCGTCGCCGTGCTGTGCTGTCGCTGGTTTACTGTGTGTGGGAGTCATCTTGTCGTTTCATCGTGGGTGCGTGCGGTGGCATCAAGGTGTTGCTGTCCGAGATGCAGGGTGCAAGTCGAGATAGTCGTCGTCGCACTACTCTCCTCAAAGCTATAGCACTCTGCTGTCAGGATGTAGTGTGCAGAGAGAAGGCTAGGGATTGTGGGGCTGTCAAAGTAAGTTGTACAATGTAGACTGGTCCTGATAGTAGCATACTGTATTGGCAGTCAGTTCATGTTTGTACGTGTAGTACAGTACATATACTGGCAAGGGTAGATCAAGTCAGGTGGCTGTCTGCTTGTGCTGAACGTGATCGACTGTTTACTTGAAGTACTAGTATGTACTGGTATGGTACATCTGATACCACTGTACATGTACATGTGCTGGTCATGCGGGTAGACTGTTGTTTACAGTCTGTGTTGTGCGAGTGATGTAAATCTACCAGCAATTGACTGTTGCCCAATTGTTCATTGCTGCTGCTGTTGTATTTTCTGGTATGATTTGTTCTATCTCTATGTGAATTGTGTGTGTGTGTGTGTGTATGTGTGTTGACCCTCTGGTTCTCTTTCCCAGGTTCTGCTGGACATGTTAGCAGATCCCAGCTACAAGTCGCTGCACAACACTATTCTGCAGGCGTTGATGAACTTCTATTTTGACGAGGCTAGCCTCCTGTTCATGGCCACCAAGCTACCCCTCATCAGCATCCTTGCACAGCGAATACTGGACTATCATCATAGGCTACGCGGGTGCACAACTCCTGTATGCGGTGTTAGTGACTGCTTCTCTAATCACTCTGATGTACTTGTGGCAGCAGATATTGGATGTACGCACTCCGAGTCTGAGTCTGTGGCAGGTGATGATGACAGCTCAGTTCCAGTAGCCAGTGCTGGTCAGGCTCAAAGTCTCCCCAAATCACCGGCCTCCACTAGCTCATCAACGTCATCATCTGATGGTACAGCGATGTCATCGGGTACTGATCTGAGAGCTGACTCACCGCAGTCTGTGGCTAGTGTTAGACCTCTACTTGAGCAGCTACACCATGTGCCTGATGTCAGTGCTGCTGCTGCTGCTAGTGCTGGTACGGGCAATGTGCCAGGTGATGCCCGCCATGAATCAGCTGCTGTTTCCGACAAGGACGGCACACTGAACACCGCTGCAGGTGCAACAACTCGAGAGAGCAGCGCTGGGCAAGCAGACAATGGTGATGTTGGCTCTGAAGCAGAGGCTGTTGATGCTGCTGAGAGTGTTGATGCGGAGAAGATGTTGGCAGGAGATAACGTTGAGCAGTTGGTCCCTGGCGTTGATGCTGATGCTAGCATTGCAGTCAACTCGGACATGGTGCCAGTTGAGCTACATAATACTGGTGATCACATGGACTCCACTAGATTTCCTGCACTGTCTCAGTGTTCCAACCCTGCTATATCGGATGCTTCGCAGTTTTCCCCTGCAGAACCGAATGATGCTGTGCTACAGTCTGTTCCGGCAGCTGTGCATGACTTCAACACGAGCTTTCCCCTCGGTGCTCCGTCACCACCCGACATGTCCTCGGCGAATGTCTGGAACACACCCTATCAGGCACTGGCATGTGTGGATTGCCCGTCACCTTTCCCCGCTTTTAGCTCTCTGGCCAGTCCTAGTATGTCTCCACTATCCTCCTGCGGGTATTCCCCAAGGGGTGGCCAGGCATCTCCGTTGCCGGACGCTTCGCCACTTCATTACTCGCAGGTGATGTCATCACCGGAATCACCTGTTCTGGAAGCAGCAGCAGAAGCAATAGCCATGATGGGAGAACCAGCAATTGCTGACATTGCAGAGGTGGCAATGGTAGAAGACACAACAATGGCAGTACCAGAGGAAGATCTTGAAAAAGAAGCTGGCACTAGTGAACATAATGCTCTTGTTGATGAATGTGGTGCTGAGGTAGAAAGTGATGCCCCATCTGTTCCTCCATCTACAGCTACTTCTTCACCACTCGCTCTCACATTGCCATCTGCAGCCAGGTGTAGTCTATTGCATGGTCCTGCTGTGCCAGGAGCTGCTGCATTCCCTAGTTATCCTGTTGTCACTCAACCCACTGCCGTGTCCTCTTCCACCGCTCCAGCAGTATCATCTCCTGTAGCTATAGCAGCACCACCAACACCAGTAACGCCATCAACAATGGCGCCAAGGCCAACCGCAGCAGCACCACCAACACCAGTACCAACGCCATCAACTGCAACAGCAGCAATAGCATCAACAGTGGCACCAAGGCCAGCCGCAGCAGTGACAACAACACCAGTAGGGACAGCCACAGCAGCGCAGAGGAGTGCTTCACGTGATTCATTGTCCGAATCCGAGTTAGCCATGCAGGCAGCTGACGAGTACCTGTCTTCCATGGAAGGTTTCATGTCTCCACGCCGCACACAGATGGGACGCGTGTTCGGTGCCGGTCTATCCAAGGCAGCCGGTGCATCATTCACTTCAACACCTGGTTCTTGTGGTACTCCACTGCCACCACCGGAAATGCCCGAGAGTGGACCCTTGACTAGTCCCGTGCCCGTCATGCTAATACCACCGTCATTCTCACCACCGCCACCACTGTCACCGTTACGCATGCTGGATGAACCCTTGCATGTTGGGGTTCCGTTCTTGGCTATGTCACCGACTAACAGAGATCTGAGTAGACAACAAGAGCGGTCAGACCAGCAAACGTTGAGAACACTGCGCAGATTGGAGACCGAAGCCACTCCGGGCAGAGTGCAGCGGCCGCAGCCGCACAAAGACCAACCTTCCGGTGTTCAGTTGGAGGTGTTTCTCTTGGACCGGCTTTCTCAAGTGTCTGAATGTACGCCACATCTCTGCAGCCATCTTGTCGTTCAGGCGTTGGTGGCCCGGCTGGTATCTGGCTCAGGGCGGTTTGGTTCTAGGTGCATACGTATTCTGATGAGAATGATCGACAATGCGCGCTGTTTCCAGCGCTTACTGGAAGAGCAGAGCGTTTGTGTTCTTGATCGGCTACGCTGTGACTCTCTACACTGCCCTTTGAACAATGACCGGTGTATGTGTGCTAACTCCAGCTTGGACTCCACCAGGCAGCATGCACGCCAGGGCCTGTGCAAAGTTGGCCGCGACGTCAATCAGCACTTGGTGCAGATGGCGCAAACGAGCTTTGGTTACGGCACTATTATGCATAACCTCTGCCTGAAGAGTCAGTCCCGTGAGGATTTCCTGGACTGCTGTCTGCTCTCCCTGCCACTTATTATCAAGTGAGTAGCACACTGTAGTGTAGAGTGTGGAGGTGCACACTGCACTGCATGTACATGTTCGACTCCTAGCATTGTTAGGATCACTGCATGTACATGTAGCATTGTTAGGATCACTGGTACGTACATGAGTGTATACCCAGTGCTGCACCAACAAGACTATTTGTCTTGGCGTCATTCTCATGTATTGACGTGACATTACAATTCTAGGTGTGTGGAACATGTAGTCATGCTGCAGTGGCTGTACGGAGATCATTGCGGTGTTCCCCATGATGATGGCAACCCAGACTCTACTCGATTGGCGGTGTGTGTGTGTGTGTGTGTGTGTGTGTGTGTGTGTGTGTGTGTGTGTGTGTGTGTGTGTGTGTGTGTGTGTGTGCCTCACCCACACATCACACAATAATCAGGGCACTCTGGGAAATCTAGTACATGACTGTACTGATTGTGTGATGCTCAGAGTGTTCATGTAGGGTTTTTGCTTTGACAGGCTTCTTTACAGATTTGTGGTCCTCTCTCCATTTCTCTGTTTTGCACATGTGCATTTTGTCTACAGGAAAGCAAATCTGCGCCATCAGCTATTCATAGTCAACAGGTGCATGCAGTTGTTAGTGGAGGCCCTGCACACGACTTCTGATGTCGTCGTAGTGCCAGCAGATCAAGATGCTTCCAGTGAAGACACCACTGAGCCAGTTAGCGCGGAGGAGAAGCCATCCAGCTCTGCCATTGAGACTTTGACGGATTCTTCTACTTTACCGAGTGCTGACATTGTGTCTGCTGCTGATACTGGTAGTGTGGCTTCAGCAACACCGTTATGTGCTGTGCCTGAAGAGTCCATGGACACAACGCCGCAGCTTAAACCAGTCAAGGATGTTCTAGGTATCAAGTCCTGCAGTCATCATGATATTCTACAATCGCTTGCGAACCTTTTCTCTTGTGCTGCGTCAGCCTGTGATCTCTCCCAGCCGACGGCCACCCGTCCATGCTGTCAACCACGCCATCGTGAAGCTGCCACACCTTCCAGTGAGGCACCAGCTCAGTTGCGGCAGCATGGTGGAAACCCAACGGTCTCTGGTAGAAAGCGCAAACATGTCGATCTGGATGCTAGTGACGATGAGAAGAGCAAGAGGCGGTTTGGTGATGAGAACAGCAAGAGGCGGTTTGGTGACGGAGGTTCCCTAGTTAGTGAGAGCAGCAGTCAGCTAGACGACGCTAAGCTGGTAGTTGCAGACCAGCAACATGCGTGTACTTCTACAACCAAGAGCAGTGATGAAGCAGTAGTGGCCAGTGCTAATGATACTGTGTCTGAGCAGCAGCTGTGCCAGGAGACAGTGGACTCGCTACCTTCCTCTACCTGTACTGCTGGTGATGATGGTGACTATGCTGATAATGCTGATGGTTGTGATGATTCAGCTTTTGCTTGTGGTAGGCCGGACCAAGAATCATCTCCACCTGCTGCTTCTGTGCCCCCTGACATACAGCAGTGTATTTCTAGTGTGTTCCACTCATGTTGCACTAGTGCTGATGGTGATGTGCAGCTGACATCAACATCAACAACAGAACCGTGTTGCCTGTATGCACGTGCACTCCGGGAACAAGAAGCTGATGTTGTGTTTGTGGTGTGTGATACGTGCCAGCTGCCCGCACATCGCTCCACACTGAGTAAGGCCGGTGATGCTATGTCCGCTATGCTGTGTGGCCAGTTTGCCGAGGCTGAACAAGGTGCACGGATAGTCCTGGCTGGTGTGTCACCGCATGCTGTGGCCAGTTTGCTGCATGCTGTGTACGGCTGTCAGCTGCGATGCCCGACGGCGGCGCTTGCCAAGGACAAAGTGCAGCCAACTCTACACACTACATTGCCGTGTGCAGATGACCCGGCCCAATGTCCGACAGGAGTGAAAGGAAGAGAGCTTTGTGCTGATGGCCATACATCACCTGTTTCAATAGCTTGCTCATCCAGTGCGGGAACAGCTGATGACAGAGAAAATCTGGAGATAAGCCCTAATCCAGTCACGTGCATTGACGAACAGCAACGCTACTCTGCTGCTGCTGCTGCACTGACTTCTCCAGACGTCCGTGACTTTTGTGTAGCTGCCGGACACTACTGTAGGTTGCGCTGTAGCAGCGGAGTGTCACATGAGCATGACCATGATGACACCTTGTGTATGGTGTTGCAAGTGATTGTGACGGCCAGCCAGTATTTGATGTGCGAGTTGGTGGCTACCTTCTCACACTGGCTAGCAGAGAATCACGTGTGTCCACATAACGTTACCTGTGTGCTGGCATTTGCCCGTGATCACCACCTGGATCTGCTTGAGCAGCTGTGTCTTACGTACATGTCCGGCTGCTCTAGACGACTGTGGCTGGAAATTCTGCTTCCATTGCATTGGGAGAAGAACATCTTGGAGATGAGTGCGCTCTGGCTAGCGTCACCAACACTCTGTTCACTGAATCCTGCTGCTGCTCGCTGATACCCCTCAGGTGGCTATCTACTGCTGTTGGTCACCTGTGTTGGCATGCCGCCTCATGAAGTGTATGCCACTGTGGAATAGTAAGCAGAAGCCGTGTAGAGCTGTTGACCTAAGCAATTATGTGCAAGTTACGCGCTGGCGGAGAGTAAACTTTAAACTTATTTTCTTTCTTTGTTGGGGTGTTGCAAGAGGACATGGCTATTTACTGGGTGCCCATCATCATCTCGTTACATCACTGCCAGTGTGTTTTCCTGTGTGGAGTTGATCGCCTTGCTGCAATGTTACTGCCTATGGTCGCCAGAAGTGGCGGCAAACCGTTCCCATTGCCAGTCTACTCCTAGCCAAACCACCGGTGTGTTGCTGTTATTCCCGGTCATGCATGCCACGAGGCGTAGTTGCATGATGTGGTTCATGACACAGCAGCGGTGGTCATCGCTGCATGATGTGGTTCATGACGCAGCGGTGATGGCGGTCACTGTCTTGCTACTGCTGGTATGTGCTCCATGCTGAGCAAGATAGAGTTTATCCTGCTACTACTGAAGTAGGTGAGTAAATATATAACTCTGTGTGTGAGTGTGTGTGGGGGGATACATGGTGTGTGGGGTACATGGTGTGTATGTGTCCATGTGGTATGGGGTCAGGGTTGCTACTGGAAACCCCGTATTAATTTTCTAGTTGCTGCCTGGTCTACTGGTGATGGGGATGCCTGGAACACGTCTTTGTGCAGCAAGTCTTAATGCGTATTGCTATACAACCATATATTCCATGCTTTTGCTATCACATTTTCAGCCAAGTATCTGCTGCTCCTTGATGTTGTGTGTGGTCTCTCTTGCTGCTCCCTTAACTCGTTAGGTTTTGTTCCAGCAACTCCACTTGGCTGATACACAGACAGTGACAGTGATTCTGAACATGCCACAGGATGCTCTGACAGGCGACCTTGATTTCGATGCGCCATAGCTGACGTTGTTTGGATTTCAAATCGTCTCAGCAAACCGTCAAAGTATGTACCTGTGGAGTTACCAGATCCTGTTCGTGATGGTGTGTGTGTATGTGTGCGTGTGTGTGCACATACTTAAGATCGGGATTAGTGACCAGTTGAATTATAGACTTCTTTACTGTAAACCGGGAAACTTTGGCGAGCTGGAAACTTTCGGAATGTTTGTGCGCTGGATGTGAGATCACAATAGTAAGTCAACGCAAAGCCGAGAACTGTAGTCGAAACCAATGAAATTGACTCCAATCGTTAACAATTCCAGGTGCAAATTCGTCTACTAGTATGCTGGCAAGTCACAAACTTGACAGTTTCCCGGTTTACAGTATCTCGCGCAGGAGTGTCATTAATCATTATAATTAATCATTATAACGTTATGCAAACTCCACTGCATGCGGAAGTGTACTTTGACATGTTCTCTTTTACTGCGATTGTTTTAGTCCTACAGTACTGTCAGGCGCCGAAGAACTGGGGGTCAGGGTTCTAGCCTAGTCCGTTCTTCTTTTTTAGCGAACACAGCAGTGAAAAACCTTACACACACCATCTTCAAGTGGTCTCTTCGCTGCAAATCATAATAATCTCAATAAAATTTTCGGCCAGGAGCCATCATCAGGATTTTCATGTAATGAAGTGGCTGCAGTGGAGCTTGCGCACATTAAGAACTCAGCAGTTTCGTTCTTATTCGATTGTACAGTCTTACATGTACATTTACGCAGAGTTATACATCAGTGAGTGTACATTATAGTGTATATTACGGTTTCCGTTCTTATCTGCAAAGCATCCAGCCTACGCTGTTCTTAAAAATTGGTGAAATTCTAGCCTGGCCGTTCTTCGGCGCCCGACAGTACTGTGCTCCTACGTACACAGGCATTCCTGCATTCCCGCATTCCTGCATTCCTGCATTCCTGCATTCCCGTGGATGTCACTTATCACTGTACTGTTACTGTTATTGTACCATGTTTGCACATGTATTGCAGATTGGCATAGTGCAGCAGATAGGGCAAGTCAAGTCCTTGGCATTGTTATTACTAGTATGATCTGTGTGTCTGCGTGTGCATGTGCGTGACCAGCAGTGTCTTCCGGGCCTGTGAGCATGTAATAGCTAGTATTCCTCAGTTCAGTGGCCCACTGAGCTATTTGTGTATGTTGGTGTGTCTCCTTGTTGGGTCAGATGTCTACAGGTGTCGTCAAAGAACGGAATGTGCTGCTCCAGTCCCTTCACTACCACATCACTTTGATGGTGTGTTGTCACTTGAGTAAAGCATAGCCGGCCCAGCAGTAGTCACATAGCTATGCTTGGACATATCAACCCTAACACACAGTGTTGTCATCTCCGCCACAACGTTACTTGTGTGGTTTTGCTGTTTGCTCAGTCTCTCTCTATGAATAGCGCTTGCCACCAGTGCGTGTGGTGCTTAACAGCGGTCAGTGCTCTGCTTCTTGACGAAATCTGGTGCACATGCACCCGTGCGGCCTTATACTCCCTATGCAAATGTTGCATCTCAGAAGTATTTCATTATGTGAAACATTGGCCACTTCTTATCAATGACAATTTTATGGAGAGCAGTTTTTTTAGGCTATCGCGTCATCCACTTGCCAGTATAGAGCAGCAGGATGTGAGCAGATCATTGTTGACTCCGTTTCTATCACTACAGCATTGTTTAGAAAGTTTAATATCATGGTAAAGATTCATGAGAGCGCGTGATCTTATCTTTCTATGCTCGTAAGCGAAGGCTCTTTGGTAGATCGTTGAGAAGTCGTTCTCTAACGAGAGGAGGATGAGTTTCACATGTGAATTACTTTTACTTTACAAACTCCCCTAATATGGACTCCCCAGATTCGGACACTCCTGTCTACTAAGAACGTTTCTGGACCCTCTAAGAGTGTCACTTTTCAACGAACAACGGCACCAAAAATGTTGGTTTGCATAAGAAAAAGGTGGCTACTTGCTTGTAATAAGTATGTATGTGCTGGTTACGGAGTTTTCCCGTACTTGCAAATTTCGTCCTTTTGAACTCTTTGGAGCTGGTCTCCTTTGAAGTATATAATTATGGCATTAACCGTACTGGTTGTGTTGTGACTGGAATGGAAAGCTTGGTTAGATCCATGCCTGGTTGGATCCTCTTGTTGGGGCTGTTCTTGGTGACTTGCATGGGTTCAAATCCTGATTGAAATCTTTTTGGACAGAAAAGAATAGAGGTGACTGCTTGCAATGATTGCAATTCATGAGATGAATTAGTGTGCAATGCATTGAAAGAATTAGCATGCATCTACATGTACATGATTGTACATAATGTCATTGTAGGTGGGTAGTGATCAGTGATGTGGTGCCATCCACTGCAAGGTACATAACAGGGAGATTGCATTATGTGTGTGCCTGTGGAGCCATGGCCGTACATGGGTTGCTATTGCAGGGCTGTTGCAGTGTTGGCCTTCACTGGTGTTCATGCACATGCAGTGGTGCTGTATTGACTGTGTGTGTGCAGTTGCAGTTAGCTCTGTACACCGAGGATGCTGAGCCTTGAGCCTCTGATATGATTAGGGCTTGGGGAGAAGTGTGAGGCGAAGAATTCATTTTTCCCAAACTTTTGTGATTTTTTTAGCGTACTTTGTTTCTAGAAGCTGAAAGACCCCCACCCCCACCCCCACCCTACCATCCTACTCGAACGTTTACTTTCATACCAGTTCTGTCTCCAGGGACGGTCATCACGAAAACACCTATGCGCTGTTATGCGCCCGGCGCAGCAGATTGCGGCACAAATCGCATGCCGGAACAGTTCCACAACACAGTAGTATGCTTGTGGGAGAATAGCTTGCGAATAACAGGTAAAACCAGACCGGCAATGCCATGACAACGGTGATGTGTGTTCAAATAAGGAGAAACACAACGGAATAAGTTACAATAGAAATGAAAGGTATACACACAGCAGTAAAGAGCCGGAGCAATATTGATCAACACGGAGCAGTGGAGACGTGCTGCTGTCAAAACGATCCTAATAAAATAAACGGAAAAAATGGTATAGTCAATATACCATAGCAATCGATTCAAATATGTACCTGTACACATTTCAACTTTCAGATGGATAAAAAACGAAATATTACAAAGTAGATGAAAAACACAAGGCCGTAGCCGTGACATTAGTCCCTCTGACTCCAGACATGCACTAGCAAGTGCGAAATTGGTCATACACACCCTAACAGAGAGGTGACGGCGTGGGCATGAAGGCATCATAAGCCGGAAGTATCATAGTTTCGACGAGCTGTTTACAACAATTTAAAAATATTTAGATCTCAAGTTCATAAATCTGTATCAGCCCCCATGGACTCATGAAGAAAGATGGACTGTAGTATATGAAAATAAAAAATGAAAATAACATCTTTCTTCCATGAGGCAAGACTTTTCATGACATTGATACAATCTAAGTTTTGTTACTTGTAGGTGAAGCAGCATAGTATCTCAAGAAGCATTGCGCGTGTGTGTGCAGTGCAAAGTGTTGTGCTACACAGCAACGCAGCAGCGTGTATGGTGGATGCAGTGGAAAGGCTACTGTCCACTCCGCAATGGCCAGAAAGTTCTGAGAAGCCAGGCAGATCGGACAAGAAGAGAGTACAGCAGATTAGTGACTGACCTGTCCGTGCACTGACTACGCATGGCTCTGTGTCCTGGCCTCGCGGTGGTATGGTGCATTGCAGGTACAGTGCAGTGGCATACATTGATACAGCTAGTTGCCATTGTAGTCCTCAACTTATGACATCATCGCACTGATGGTACGCACTTATATCTAGTTGATGACTAAGAAATGATGGTTGTGCAGTTCGTGCATGATGTCCGCATCCGATGTCACCTCACCACCACCCGCTCTGGAAATACAACACAGTCATGCATACATGTGCAAGCAAACACAGGCAGACACACACGCACGCACACACGCACACAAGAAAGCAACAGCAATGCAGGATTTTAGTATTAGGTGAGCAACTTGCAGCAGACCAATTGAGTGAAGGGCTCAGCACCATGGATTAATTAACCATGCTCAAAACGGGTCCATCCACACAGGGGGTTCCCTCCACAGGGAACTTCCCAGTGCGAAGCACACACACAAACACATGCACACACATTAAATTACAAGAAAATCCAAAACACGACTAGTACAAATGTCATGTAAGAAACTCCTCGAAAAGTTAAAGAGTGACGATTCAAACGCCCCCTAGATTGTGCAATCCTATTCTGTAGCTAACAAGTACCAATAACAAAGGATCGGAGCAGTATACGGTCTTTTCCCTGCACAAGATACTAGTCACTTGCAGTGCCTACCCTGCATAGTCCAGATAATTAGGTAGTTGCAGAGTAGTATACACTATACAATGACAATTGCACTATATATAATTATGTGCAGAGTAATTATTAGAAATAAACCTACTTGCAAGTACGTGGAGACAACAGTTTAATTATGGCAATAGAAAGGATCAACTGTGCACTCATTCTGGCTATGCACACATCAAGGCACAGGTGATGGGTAAGTTCCAAGAACGTTTTCTCGTGATTGTCATCAGTTGGAATAACATCACAGTATTGATACGAAAGGACAATAACAGAGTGTTATAGTAGTAATATTAGAGCAAGAGTACATAACCAAGAGTGTGCATCTCCTATCTTCAGCTGCGATGGGTTCACCCACGGCGGAATTTTTGTATTGCGTCATTCTTTGGCAGAATTATGATGAAGTGGGTATGGTATCTTCTCGACGGCAGAGCGCAGCGACAGAGGCGAGAAGTATTTTCTCGTCACAGCGGTTTTTTCTCGTGTTTTTTCTCACAAGTGAGCAGTCATCTGATCAATTTCTTTTTACTCGTACATCTTCACATGTTCTCTAAACCGCTGCGCATGAGCACGACTGGCCAGTCGTCTTGAGGTACCCACCCTCCCTCCCTGCTTTTTGTACTTGTCAGATTAGCCACTTGGGGTTTTACACCCGGTTTTTTCCCTCAAAAAAATAATGCGTCCGTCGGCGCGAGGGTTTTTTCCCGGCTGGCTCGGCCCAGACGAATTAATCTGACGGTCCCAAGTGGTGCTTCTGGTTTTCGGTCATTGCTCTCTCAGTTGCTGCCATCGCGTTGCTTTCACAGAATATCCATGTGCTCTGTCCCTTCTTCCGCTATTCTACAATTCCGCATCCTTCCATGTAAAAGAACGTGGTGTCACACTTCTGGCCCTCCTAACCGCAATACAAATGTGCTGTTGTTTGGTGTGTAGCGAGTGTGGCTTATCGCTGTGCGAGAATGCTTGTTTTGTAGATACGGTGAGAGTTCATCAGGTTCAAGACACATCGATCTATCGTCCGTTGTTCTGCTTCGACTACCGTAGCTGTAATGTACAAATCATTTGTACTTTGATCTCTGGCTACGCATGATGGCATCAGTGAGCCAAACCGCCGCCAAAGATTGAGGTCATAAAAAAAATTCCGCCGTGGGCTGGGGGATCGTCTAGTTGCACACTCTTGGTTATGTACTCTTGATTAGAGTCATCTCTTACCCACAATACCACTAACACCCCCATGATCTAATATCCTGATAGCCATGAAACTCAGGGTGCGTTCTTAAATCCTCTCGGAAAAGTTGGAGACTCTCCGAAAAGTTCGAGAGCTGTTCTTATATCCTCTCCGACTTTTAGGAGGCTCTCCAAAGCTCTCCAAGCTTCAGAGGTGGTTGAAACTTGGAGATTCCCGCGGTTTGGGATCAGCGCATGCGAACTAGGGCTAAAAGCCACGTGTTGATCATGAGTGTACGCATTTCCCTTTTCGCATACGCACATGTGTATACTAAATTCATGACTCAAGATCGCGGCCCCTTTGGCGCTTCATATTGCTTGACATGTGCAAAATATCTCCGAATTCTTTGAGACCCGTTCATGAATTACACCAGTTTCTTCGACTTCTCTTTTCTTCTTCTCCTAGAAGCTAGAGAATAATGAACGCACCCTCAGAGTTACAACAAAAAGTTTCCTGCAATTGTAAACTTGTGTACATACATGTACATACCGTATGTCCGCACCTTTAAAGCCATGGAGGTATATTCGATTGTAAAGCCAGTCTCAGTTATAAAGCCATGGGCTTCATAAATGAAATGATATGTGAAGTACGTTTTGCAAAAATGAAGGAATAAGTACTATGCTAACAGACTTACAGCCCAGCAGGAAGGGTGAACAAGTGGATTTAGATTGAAATTTCTGTGTGGACTTTGACTTTTATGGCATGGCGTAGTGGGTGAGTCATTTTACATCTAAAATATCTAGGAAAGCAGCGGTGTTTCGAATATAAGGCCATGGCTTTAAAGGCGCTGACATACGGTACAAGTCAACACCCACACCACACACACGCGCACGTACACCCACACACGTACACACGCACGCACACCCACGCTCTGTACTAGTACCGTAAAATCCCGCAAGAGCGCCCCTACCTCCTCGACGCTTCAGGTGGGGAGGGGCGGATGGGCGAGTCCTACTTGCCGCATTCAGTGCTACATGAAAAAGTACTCACCCTACGAAAACTGTTCGTGCATCTCGTACATCGACCAAAGGTCAAGAGCCAGGAGTCGTACAGACCCGACAAAACGCAGGGTTTGTGCGATCCCTGGTCAGGAGGGTGGGCACTGTTGCGTACATTTCCAACGGGGTCGAGCACGCGTCTGCAGTGCAGTACGACATCACAGACTGCGACAGAGTCAAACGAGGATACAATCAATCACGTCCCTGACAAGAAGTCAGGGAGGGGCGGATGGGAGAGACGGGGCGCTCTGGCGGGATGTTACGGTATACGCCAGTCGCAAGAGAAGCACGCAAATCTGCAGATGCACTGGATGTGCACCCACAGATTTCCTCTTTATAGCAACGATAGCGGGTCTGATTCGGAATGAAATAGATCAAGACAAGCGCCAGATAACTGTCTAATCCACACAACTGGCGAAGCCATGTGAACACACACACAGACACACACACAAGCAGGCACACAGACACAGACAAATAACGTTGAATTGAACATCCTTGAGAGTGGCCTGCACTGACAGGCAGAGAATCGCAAACAAAATCAAGAAAAGCAATGACACATGCATTGCATGGGACGAGAATGCACGTCTCATGTGTAAAAAGCTGAAAAGAGCAAAAGTGGGCCAGCACAATTGGAAGAAACACTGGTAATAAAAACAAAACAAACTGGGGTCTTTAGCACACCAATGTCCCCTGGCAGCTCCAATGAAAAAAATCCAGTATTAAAAGAAGAACACTAAACGTAAGCTAAGGCATTGAAAAACGAGTTCATCTAAAGACAGCAGTAGCGTATTCACAAAAAACATCAAATCATACGAAACGTGTCCACAATTTCAAAACAGCACAGAAATACGAATGGAACTCAAAACACTTCATTGTTGGAAAAAAACTGGAAGGGAAATTATGCACCAGGAGCAAGTATGGCCAGGTAAAAATAAAAATAAATGTTCACAGCAGCAAAGATACTAGCTGCACCACGCAGGCATATATGTGTGACACCTGCACAGGAAGGTCAACGGGCCACAGGATAAGCCTAGTACAATGTACATACAACAAGCACACAGCGCAATTCAAACAATGCTAGCACAGGTAGATGTAGCAACAGCAGCAGCAGCAGCAGCAGCAGCAGCAAGTATTACAGTAAGTCCTTACAGCAACACATCACGCAAGAGCAGGGTACTCATCAGGCATTAGACAGTGGACACGACAATTGGGACACGTGCTCTGCTCATGGAACCATTTACGAATGCATTCAGTATGGAAGCGGTGACCACACTGCAGTTTAATGGAATTCTTGACAGTCATTTCCTCCACACAAATAATACAATCTTCCATTTCATCCATTGCAACAGATGCCTTTTGGAATGCACTTGCACCTCTACTACTGCCATAAGCTGCCATGGATGGCGGCGGCGCAGGCATTGAGGATGTATTCACAGCGGCAGCAGCAGCAGTGTGATGATGACCTGTGCGTTGTTTACTAGCAAGCCTCTGAGCACTACCACTGATTGAGTCGGATGCCGACATACCTGGTGGTGGTGCAGCTGCAACACTAGTTCCAGCACCATTACCTGCCATGGCCGACGTAGTCGATTGACGCGAACGAGTGTCAATGATGACCGTGACACGGCGCACCACATCATCCAAGGAGATGCCAGACAAGCTGTTGTTGTTCTCGGCGCGCACAGTGCGAATGAACTCCACCAGGTCTGCACGGCTATGCCCGGGGTACATAGCTGCCAGTTGACTGATGATCTTTTCAAAGCTGTTTAGCTTCTTTTCACTGACAGCAGCCGGAGCAGCAGGAGCAGCAGCAGTAGACTGAGCTGCCATAGCAGGTTTAGCAGCTTGCACAGTGGTAGAGCCAGACCTTGATGATGCCTTTAATCTACTGTCAGAAGCAGAATGAGCAGCAGTAGCCGGAAGAGTAGCGGTGCTTGTGACTGGTGTTGCTGCCGCTGCTGGTGCAGACAGCTGGCGCGGTACTGGTTGAGATGCGTGCTTGTCACTACCATTACCAACTGCAGCAGGTCTGGGAGAGGATGTAGAGCGAATAGCGGCCGCATCAGCTGCACCTTTCCCCTGTGATGCAGTTGGTGGTTGTGATGGTACTCCGACATCACTGCTAGCAGCAGCAGCAGCAGGAGAGGCGCGTGGAGGAGGCCGCGTTCCACCAAGGGCGACTGGACCACCAGCAGCACGAAGTGGCGCTGGCGGCGACGGTTGTTGCACTGGATTGGCCGAAGCCATGGGTGGTACCGGCACTGGACCACCAGCAGCAGCAGCAGGTGGTGGTGGTGGCATAGTTTGCCTTGGAGGCACTGGCAGCTGTACACCCAAAGGTGCTAGTGATGACAGTTCTTTCTGGCCACTCTGCAGTGATTCAATCTGATGAACAGCCATAGCAACCAGTCTTTCGCCACAGCTGATCAACTCCTTTTGGTAGCGATTGGTCTGTTTCAGATGCTCCACCAAAGCGACATTGTTATGACCAGACTGCAAGGCATGCTGGAGACGACCCGCAACCATTCCTGCCTGTTGACGGAAGCCTTCGATCTCACGCAGGCGCATGTCCCGCCGCAATTCTATCACAGTGACTTCAGCGGACACAGAGCGCTGCTTCAAAGCTTCTACCGTATTCTGCAGATCGCGTTTCTGCGAGTCACTCAATGACAGCTGTTTCGTGTAGTCCTCACGCTCCACATCAACTTGTTGACGAAGCTGGTTGCATTCTTGCTGTGATCGCTCCAAGTCCGCACGCAGCTTAGTCTCACGTCCTTCCAGCTCCTTGACCTGATGGCGAACACGTTTCGCTTCAGCAACATTCTTAACTTCGGCTTCATGCTTCTCGCGCAGCGAAGTGACTACACTTTTGAGCTTGGCATTTTTCTCCTGTGCCTCCGCAGTCTTCTTGTGTGCCGTGCCCAAGTCCATTTCAAACTGTCTCTTCTGCTTGTGCTGCCGGTCATTGACATCACTCAGCTGCTCGTTGACATCATCCAGCTGTTGCTTCAATCTATCACATTCCTCTTGAAGCTCTTCAGCAATGACCTCAGGATCCAGGCCACGGTCTGTCTGGCATGCCTTATCGCAGCTATCCTCATCCCCAGTGTCATCATACGTTTCACTGTCGTCCACATTAGAAGACATATGATCAGCAGCGGCGGCGGCGGCAGCTGCTGCGGCAGCAGCCCTTTCCTTCTTCTTCTGCTTCTTGCTCTTGGCAGGAGGCTGAGAGGACACAGAAGATGCGGAGCTGGTGGCACTAGCAGCGGCTGTGCTGCTTTTGCTACGGCTAGCGGCCGCCGCACTGGACTTATCTTGCTGGGCTGCTGCTGCTGGTTTGCTGCTGGTAGTAGTGGAGATTTCTTGAGCTTCTTCTGCCACATGCCGCACCACATTCAGATCACTAAACTGGTGGCTCTTGGATGAGCTGACATTGCTAGCTACATCATCATTGATAAGGTCAACAGGCACGCAAGATATGGACTCATGCGAGGACACAGTCGACATAGGTGGAGGAGGCAAGCTGTTGGGTGCTGCAGTTGTGCCTCCAAACATTGTAGTAGAAGCAGGAGCAATAGGCGGAGGCCGCGGCATGGGTGGCGAATTCATCATCATCGGCGGCATTGTGTGCGCTGGTGGAGGCCCCACACCGTGTAGTCCTGGTGGTCCAGGTGGCAGAGGAAATGGTGGCATAGGAACCCCGGGTGGTGGAGGCCCTGGCGGAGGTGGCATGAAAAAGCCACCGGGAGGTCCAGAAGCCATGAACTCTACACCTGGCATAGCAGGAAGAGGAGCAGTTAGTGGTACCGGTGGTATCATGCTGTTCGAGTACATGGCTGCTGGAGGAAGGTTGGGCACCTCCATCGATGCTGCAAATTCATCCAAACAAGTTGTATCAGCAGTAGTATTGCCGCTAGCACTGCGACCGGACACGTTCTTAGGTACAAACTCATTGGCATCAACATTCAGCGCCGGTGAATTGGCTGCATCGGCACTACTAGCAGCTGAGCCGGCTTCTGGCTTTGCGCCTGGACGGCGTATGTCAACAGCAGCCGATACACTACGTTCTGGACCTGCATCCTCCACTGACGGCAGGAATTCACGCAAGCAAACACGACTACCACGGACAGCGAATAGTTCAGAGCGTCTCAGAAATCCCTTCAGCCCACCAACTACTTCAATAGCCTGTTTCACTTGGTCCGGAAAGAAACCTATGTTCTCAGTCAAGCGCCCATCATCAATTCCCATCTCACCGCCATAGCGCACCACATCAGCCAACATTGAGTAGACGTTGGTGAGAACCTCACTGTCTACTTCAAGCAGTAGCTCATCATCCTTAACGGCTGCTGTCGAGGGCTTCTCAGATAGTGTTGACACAGTAGTTGAAGTGGCAGCAGTTTTCCCAGAATCTTCCTCCATGCTCAAACTTGGATAGTCACCGGCATTCTTAGCGCCTGGGAGATTGACTGTACCAAGGTGGCTGCTGCCCGTCGGGCCCTGGGTAGAGGTATCCGGTAAATGGATTGGTACATGGCTGGCAGTACGAGGTATGCCACCAGTAGCAGTAGGCATGGCCATGGACATCGGCGGCACTGGAACGCGAGTGCCTGTTGACACATCACTGGCCGTTCTGTATGATAATGATGTACTAGCCGGTGGAGGCATAGGCGGGAACGAGCCGAGAGCGCTAATGCCACTACTGAACGAGCCGAGAGCACTAATGCCACTACTGGCAGTACTGCTGCTGCTGATGCTGCTGTTGCTGCCGAACATCTCAAAATGAGGATTGGCATCTTCAGCGGAAACAAGCGGCAGGCCGTCAGCATTGCGTGGTACATACTGGTCACCAAGGAAAGCATCCAGGGCCACCGTCTGGCTCTTCGCTACTTTCTTCTTCTTTGCTTTGCTCTTGGAAGACTTGGTTGTCATGGAATCCTCATCGTCATCACGTTTCAGCCTGACCATAGATGTTGTGTCGGCACTAGCACTGGCAGCAGCAGCAGCATCAGCATCAGCAGGGGCAACAGTAGCAACAGCAGCGGCGGTGTCACAGGTGGCAACAGCATTTGCCGACGTCAGATGTGCTCCAGCTCCAGAGGAACCAACAGCAGAAGCAGCACCAGCAGCTGGTAGATGAGTTGGATAATCGTCGTCAGTGGCATGGTGCTCTCTACCGTCTTTGATTTTGCTTTCACGTGGTCCAGCCGGAGTAGCAAGAGCATCAGCAACAATACCCTCATCGTCAACCGGTCGCTGTTTGACCTTCTGGGTTTTAGCCTTGCCGGAACGCTGCTTGCCAGCAGTGGCTGCTGTGGACTTTGACTTGATGAGAGACTCATCACGGAACTCTTTCTTGGCCTTACGCCCAGTATCGTGGATGTTGATACAATAAATACGCCCTTCACAGTCCGGTGTCACGCAACCACTGCCCAGCAGATCTTTCTCTGACGGCTTACTAGGATCATCAGCACGCACGCGTCTCCAGCAAGTCAAGTGGTAGTCAACATGACAGAGCGACGTGCAGGTTGTGCGCACGTACCCCTTGTAATCAGGATCGCTGAGATAAATCGGACGGCGAGTTTTACATTCCAAATAGCGACACACGGCCTCTGGGCGCGGAGGATTCAAGCACAGAGCACGCAAGTCAACGAGCACTTCATTGTAATCTTTGGCACGCGACTCCGCAATGACGGTTTCAGTTCCGGGCCAAGTACATGTGACTAACTGACTCTTACTGCGTTTCAGCATTGCCAGGCCTTTCTCCACTGCTTCAAGTGCTTCCTGGTAATTGTTCAACTTCACATGCACCTGTGCTTGGCCATAGTAGACAAGTGGGAAGGAAATATTTTCAAATTCATGCAGTATGCAAGCCAGGTGCTCGCCAGCTTCCACTAGTGAGTTATGATCGGCTAGTTCCACCAGAGCACTAGCTAAGCTGTAGAGTAAAACAACATGCTCGCGATCGCCCATCAACTTCTTGTTCACACTGACCGCTTTCAATGCATCTCTGTACTTGGGTAGAGCACGGTTGAAATCGTTCAGGAGCAATTGTTGCGAGGCACCCGCGAGCAGATCCACCAATTCAAAGCGCTCCAATGTTTGTTTCCGAGCAGCACTGGCTTGTTGCACGGGAGCAGACTCCGATTTCGTGCTGTTGGCAGAGTCCTTTCTTTTTTGGGAATCATTGTTATCTTGGCGTTGAGCCGGGGCATGCGGTTGTTGGTTGTGCTTAGCAGATGTAGTTGGTGCAGTTGTCGCAGCGCTAGTCTTAGAAGATGATGATGCCGAGCTAGAGGCTGATTTTGCTGAGGATTTCTTGTTAGAGGCAGCAGAAGAGTTAGAGGATAGGGCACCATGCACTGAGGAATTTACAGCAGATGAGGACAAAGATGGCTTGACAGAATTGTTTTTTTTGCTTTCACTGCCAGAGGCAGAAAGCTTAGAGACGGAAGACGAGGATGTAGCTACTTTAGACTTAAATTGGACAAGGGGAGGTGAATCAGTGTCACTAGAATCGGCTGAGCTGACCAATTCTGGCATATCATTAAGATCATCATCATCATCATCATCATCATCATCATCATCATCACCATCATTGTTATCACACATATTATGTAGTCCAGCAGAAAGTGGTTTCTTTTTGCTTGGAGAGTCTGGTGGATTATGTTCTCGTACAAATAAACCTGCAGCAGACTTTGCCTTCTCCTTGCTGCTAGCGGTGTTGGTGCTACTACTGGTATTGGCTGGTGTACTGGATGCCTTAGGAGCAGCCTTACTATTCTGATCAGTGGTCTTCGTCTTTGACGGTAGTACTATGTCATCATCTTCATTACTGTCAGCAGAATCAGACTCAAGACTGCTAGATGTCATTTCATCATCTAGCTCAACTAGACCTGGTATATCATCGTCGTCGACTTCATCTTCTTGAGCTACAGCAGAGCTGGCAGCAGTAGCAGTAGCAGCAGATGCAGTGGTGGCCTTGCCTGCTATGATAGATTGCTTATCTGAGTTTGCCGTTAGTGTTTTGGAAGATGTGGTGTTACTAGAAGTACTTATAGCACTGTCACTATCCTCCGTAATCCAACCATCATCACTGCACTCATCTTCTTCATCAGTCACCAGCTCGGGCATGTCGTCATACTGTGATCGACGCTTGCCGTCTCGCTGCTGACTTTTAGACTTACTGCTAGATTCATGCTTTGCGCCGCCAACTCCTCCATCGCGCTTGGCAATTGCACTTAAAATTGCTTCATACTGCTTCTCTAGGTCAGATTTTGCTTTACATATCTTGCGTGCCGTCTCGTTGGCTTCTTTGGCTTTGACATAGCACCCGCTCTCGATCAAGGCTTGCACGTAGCGATGCTGACCTCTTTCCCACTCTGGTTGTAGCACTGAGCAGCGCTTTCCATCGACCAAGGCCAACATGGCTTTGCTTTGCTTCAAGTAACAAATGCACCGGTTGCTGTATAATATGTTGCTGAACGGATTCTGCCGGATCGCATTGCTGTAAAGTCCAATGGCTTTGGGAATACCGGTATCCAACTTGAAACAGGCATTTCCTTCAATTTTTATATGATGCGTTGCTTCTTCACTCTTGGCACAACTGCGTCTGTGCTCTTTACTGAGATCACGTGAATCACAAATTAGAGCTCGTATATGATCGGAAACATGCTTGACGACAAGCAATAGAACTGTAAAGCGAACTTTTGACCGTAAACCAGGATATCTCTGGGCTAATTTCTGGATATTTGTCGTAAACCATGAACTCTCCGGCGGATTGCCAAGGGAATGCTCCTCTGCCTGGTCAGCAATTCCCAAGATGTGGTCGAGTAGGAATTGATTATTAAGATGTTCCTTGATGGCAGACAGAGCATCTTGGACCATATCCACAAGGTCCAGGTCAGCTAGCTGCCTGTATACAACGGCATTATTCTCGTCAAGCACTCCAGCTTCCTTCGCCACACCTCGCCAAGCATTGCAGTGGTCCGGCTGGCTGAATAGCAGAAAGGAGAGAACACGAACTCTCATGACTTCAAAGTGTTCACCACGTACTGAATCACTGAGTTTAAACCATGTCTCGGCTGTATCCATTCTGGTTAGTTCCTTCGTAGAGGCGCGTTCAGTGCTGGACTTTTTCCCTTTGTTTTTTGAACGAGAAGACTTCTGGCCCGAGGCCGACTTTTTCTCCATTTTGAACTACGCCACGCGTATGTGCGTCCAATATAGAGAAATTCCGAAAGCGAACGGTTCACACAACTAACTTGCACCAGTAACCAGGCCTCCAACGAAAGCAACTCAGTGGATCGAGTCGCGAGATCGATATAAACCAGTTGAAAACAACAATTATTTTTAGTTCAAGATGATGCAAGTTGATGAAAAAATTGTTCAGAAAGAGCCAAGTCGGCATGCTGGCATACAGCGCGCGCGCTGCATGCACCGGGACCCGACGCTAGGAGCTAGGCTAGGCCAGGATCAGAAAGGTAAGTAAGTGCGGTATGCAAAGTAAGTGCTGATGCAGTGATGGCCGCTAGCGAGTGGCCACGCCATACCATGGGCCGGGGGAGTAGACTCTACGTACCGCCACAGGCATGCACAGACATACAACCAGTAGATCTACGGCGCACTTCAACTTCAAGTTCAACACAAGCACACCAATGACAATGCCATTGTGACAACTGACATGTCACAAAGCTGCAAGCTGCATAGTAAGTGAAGAGCTTGAGAACAAAACGCTGTATGCGCCAAATCTTCAAAATCGAGATTTTTGACCCAACTGAAAGATCACATCGAGCTGAATTTGATGGCGAGGTCATTTTTGGCGAAAACGCAGTACATCCTACAGAAAACCCCATTCAAACAGTCGCTTTCAGAGCAAAACGCTGTATATCCGGCTAGGATTTTTTTTCAAAACGCAGTATACGCCAGTTGTCATAGTTATACAGTCGTGGGCAGCGCGCGTGGTGTTCAGAACGCGCAGAACACTGCTTTTTGTCATTTTTTCAAACTAGTTTGAATTATTTTTTTGAACGAGCGCTTGACTCGACTTATGGCTGTCAAATTAGCTTTCTCTTCTTCCTGACGCTGTCAAAGCTCTTGTCTTAGACATCAGCGTGGCGGAGGTGACATTAGATGGTATGAGTGAGCCAGTTGTTTTGTCTCCTGCTGGGAGAGGGCGTCTTGTGCCTATATTCTCACCCGGATATACTGCGTTTTGCCAAAAAGAAGGTGAAAAATTCAAAAAATATCAAAATCTGAGAGGTGTGGATTTTTGATGACATGGTGTTTGGGGTCCAGTATTCCTTCTGGTACTAAATCCAAATTTCCATTGGGATGGGATGTAAGACAAAGTCAGGACAGAATTTTGACTTTACCCGAAAAGTGCCAAAATGGATATACCGTGTTTTGTTCTCAAGCTCTTCAAGTGTAGATCAGAATCAAGCAATGACGCACAAGCCGACCACAACCCAGGCAGGACTGGCTGAGTCATGAGTGAAGCAGTTTGGATTGTCCGGCCTTTCACACTTTTGTGATACTGAAAGTCTACAAATTTTCGGCCCATTCAAATGCGCCATTCAAATTTCGGCCTCCGAGGGCTAAAACCAATTTCAGGCTTTAATTTTCAGCCACATCAAATTTTCGGCCTGTACTGCTGCCGTCTGTGTACACTGTCACATTGAACCTTGCAAAACAAAATTTCAGGCGCAACAAATTTCGGCCAAACATGACCAGGCTGAAAATAGTCGAAAATAAATATGCGCCGAATATTTGTTACAGTATGTAACTTGAGTACCATACTCAAGTACTTTCGCTGTTGCTTTCACACGCGCGAAAAAGCACAAACATGGGCCTATGGCCCCGAGCAAGTTTATCACGATTTCGCACGTGTGTTGGTCACACGAGAAAAAGAGGGACATGCACATGAGTTTGCGCGTCGTGTGAATCGCCTACTACTCGTGTGACCAAAGTGCGTGCAAATCTTGATAAACTTGCTAGAGGGCCATAGCCTCATAGGCCCACGGCTGTGCTTTCACGCGCATGTGTGCGCGTGTAAAACCAGTAGAGAGGCTAAGATGCACGTTATTTCTGACGGGACGCGCAATTTCACGTCAAATTTGGCGTAAAACTCCAAATTTCGACGTGAGCTATTTTCGACGTGAGTTTTCCAACGCGCGAGCCAATAACACGAGCTGAACTTTCGTGTCACGTCAGAAATTACGTGCATCTTAACCTCTCTAATGAGTATCGTACTCGAGTTACGTGAGTATGCTCAAGTACACAGAAGCATGTGATATTTGCACGGGTCTGTTGTCCGTGTGAACTCGTCCGATCCCCCGATGGGCAGCTTGTCAACTTTTACACAAACGTGTTTTCGTTCATAAATATACAGTTCATATACACATCGTGTGAATCGCCTATTAGAACCTGCTCAGCAGTAAACACACGTTGGTGGCCAAATGGTTGATCCCGCCGCCGCCGGCATAGCCTGACCAACCGGACTGGTTCTGCCGGGCCTGCAAACCATACCATAGTCCTGTAGATAAGAGTCTTATGAGTGCATAAACCAGAGTGTGCAACTCGGGATGGTTCCTGGGGAGCGCAATTCGTGCAGTACGTCATTTCTGACGGCATGGTAAGCCACAGATACGGTGAAAAGTTGCGTAACCAGTCGCGGTGGTGCAGGTCACTGAGTTTGTCCTGATTTCGGTTTTTTGATACGGATAACCTAGCCTGGTGACTTTACTTGTCGGTAGATGTACGCAGCGTACACAGTCACACAAAACACCGAAATCTAGCATTTATATTCCACACTTTTATTATCCGATGATCTTGTTTTGTTTGCTATGATTCCGTGATTTTCTGTTGGTAACTTTCGAACTTAGCAGCCACATGAGAAAAAAATCCTGAAACAGGACGTCTAAAATCAAGCAAACTTGGCTGATTTCCGGGCTATGAAACATGATAATTTGAGCTGTATGGCAAGTCGCAGCTTGGCTGACCTCATCAGGGTGACGTAGTGCACGAACTGCGCTGTTTCAGATCTGATATGCACAGTTGCACACTCTGGTTTATGTACTCTTGGTATCGGTTATAGTGTTATTGTGTAAAATAATATTTATACTGCATACAAGAATGAACTCTCATATTTTCATAATCATAACATGGGTTTCAAGTGAACATAATATGTGAACATTTATATTCTTATGCCTGGTTCACACTAGGCCGATTTTCCAGCCTATGCTCCCACACCGACAAGAAATCGACCGACTGTGTCGGACGAGTCGGACTAGCAGTTCACACACAATGGTGGGCAACTTCGCTTGTACTATAGTTGTAGGCTTGTCTGTTACACACGTACACGCGGTACACAGCCGCGCTAGACCGTAGTAGACGCTAGACAACGGAAACGAGATAGTTTTTACACGAGCTACAAGGCCAAAGGCGTGAAAAGGCTAGCATATAGTAGCGATCCAGTGCAGCCAGTTCACGGTCTGCACCGACGCTCTCCGCTGTCATGGTGGAAAGCCTACAGTGATTGGTCCGATGCATGCTCCATCACGCGCAAGCACTAAAAATCGGTCGGCTTTTCGGCTAAATATCGACCAGTCGCTACTTGGCCGAAAACTAGTGACAAGAAAATCGCCGCAGATCTGTCGGAAGCCTGTATGACAACACCGTCCACACCAGGCAATTTTCGCCCCGATCTTGAGGATTTTTCGGACGAGTCCATGTCAGCCAGAAAATCGGCCTAGTGTGAACCTGGCATAACAAGCAATGTTATCGCATAATAGAATATATCGGTCCTAAGAATGGACTTTGTGTAGCAAAACATACCAGATTAGTACAAAGTGCATCGCCTGCAGTAATAGCATCGGTCCGGTGCAGTTCTGCGGTTCTGATCCTACTCAGGGGCGTAGGAAGGGTTATGGAAGTGGTACGACCGAAGGTCGGCGCGGCCGTGTTTAAGGGGGATCCGGGGGACCTCCCCCGGGAGATTTTTTGTAAAAAGACACAAAATCTTGCGTTCTGGGACTGTGCATGCAGTGTGCAGTCGAGTCGAGTACAGTACTCAGTACGACTGCAGATGCATGGCAGATCTATGAGTACGAGTCTAGAAAAAAGGTCAAAGTCTGATGCGCATACTATAGTAGTAGTAAATAGTACTAGTATGCATCGATGGATCCTGATTTTTTTATTACGGTTTTGCACGTTCCGGACGGACCACACTTTTCGAAAAGTGGTACGGCCATGGTCGTACCAGTCGTAGCGGGTGCTATGCCCCTGCTACTCGTGTTGCGTCGGTAGTGCTGCATGTGCAACTGTTGTGGTCATGTAACTCATGTCCCTTAGTCACATGGCAAAGTACATGTACTTGTACTGCACAGCCTGCAGATGGTGTAGTCGCCGATCACGATAGCACACATGTACTGAGTCTGTTGCAAGCATGTCACAGCGTGAATGCAGTTCTGCACGGAGAGCCCTACACATACCCTACGTGTACGGCTCCCTGGTTCTGCACGGGCAGGCGTCCTGGCTGAGGTGAGGTCTACTCGTAGAGCCTCGGCCTCATGGCGTGGTGTCCGACAAAATCTCAGGCTGACGTCATCTTTTATGATGCAATGCTTTCAGCGCTATAGCACCAGTGGCAGTGATATGTG